GGGCTCCCGAGGGCCCCTGACAGACACCAGCGTCGGTCCCCCAAGTGCGGCGCCCGCCCCGGGAAAACATCCTCCCTCGGGGTAAGGGAGGGAACGCGGGGCCCCGAGACGGCGACACCGGTTCGGGTCCCGGTGAGCTGGGGTCCCAAAGAGCCACGGCGAAAGTCGCTGTCTGGGGCGGGGGCGCCTCCAGCTCGCCTCCGCCTCCGGAAGTTTCTCAGGGACCTGGGTGTGGGAAGCGCGCGCAGACCAGGAAATGCTGCCTCTAGGTCTCCGCAGAGGGCTGCGGCGATGCTCACTCACCGAAGTCCCTTTTTCTTCTCACAGAGAAGATGCTTGAGATACGAGCACAAGCATTTCCTGGACCATCTGCGTTGTAACCGAAGCTTTTTCAGTTGGGACAAGTCACGGGGGCAAACATGGTGAACTCCATCAGCGAGCTGGAGTTTTCTAACGACAAAGGTACCGAGGAGCTCTCCCAGGTCGCGCTCCTGCAGCTGTCAGATGACGCCGCAATCCGAGACAAAAGTTCGGCCCGTGTCCCTGAAAAAACTGGCCACCCCGACCCCGTGTACGTGATGGCAGCGAACATTTTTCAGGGTATTCGAAAGGAAAAGTCGCCAGAGAAAGTCCTAATAAAGTACGGGAAAGAACCCCTGCGGGCCTCGGCACAGTCCGAGGATGAGAACTTCAGGCGTTTGTCCTACGAACTGGCCTTCAGCGCCCTGAAATGTGAGTAGAACCAGCCTCGAAGATCGGCGCTGAAAGAGAGTAACCGAGATTGTGGGTCGCAGCCCCCAGCCGCCTGCACCCCACAAAACGCGTTTTGTTTCTCTCCAAGCCCAGTCGCTGGTGAACTGCAGACTGCGGGGAATTCTGAGAGTTCAGTGAAACTAGCAGTTTTTATTGCGTGTTCCCCCAACCCCTTGCAGAGCAGTGCTTAGATATTTGGTTGTCCTTAGATATTTGTACTGCAGTCATCAAAATGCACAAGAAACAATTTGATGGGCCGGGGGATTTACTTCAGTGCTTCTGCTGCCTGCCTCGAAAGAGCAAGGACCCAAGTTCGATCCCTGGTACCAAACAAGCACAAAGAAACAATTTGATAAGTTGAGAACAGGAGCCTGTGTGAGTGTATATATCTGTGTATGTGCTTGGGGAGTGAATCTAGAGCCACGGAGCACACTGAGCTACATCCTCAGTCCTTTTTTTGTTGTTGAGACAGGATCTCTTCACTAAGTCACTAAATTGTCTGGGCTGGCCTCAAACTTGTGATCCTCCTGCCTCAGCCTCCTGGAGTGGTGAGATTATAGTTGTTTTCTTCTCCTTGTGTGTTTCTTTCCATTCCCTGATTTTACATCTTGTATTTTAGTTTGTGAGTTTTAACAAATAGAAAACCGTTCAGGGAACATGAGAGGAACAGAGACACAATACAAAGAAAGGATGCAAATATTCAAAAAATGAATATCAAAATTAAGCCAACTCCAGTGAAGATCACTGTTAACCAACAGCTTTAATTTGGGGAGCCAAACGTAAGTAGAATTTCCCCTTCTGATTTGTCTTTAGGGTTTTAGACTCAGTGTTTTCAGTTCCTTCAGTAGTGGTTAATCTGTCAACTCTCTGGTGGAGCTGGCTTCAGGGAGTGACCAGCTATGGTGACTGGAGGAGAGCTGTCAGAGGGCCCGGAGAGGTTTGTCTTCATGAACTTTAGACTGGTGTGTAAGCAGACTGAATGTGTCCTGTGAGGATTACAGAAATGTTTGGTGGCCTCACCGCAGGGCTGAATAATGAGCTTGTGGCTCCCCAAAGAGGTGCTGGATTGGGGCGACACTTCCTGGCTTGTTTAGTGGGCGACCCCATCTTTGCACGCAGGAGACTGGGAAAACACTTTGAGGTGAACTAGAACGCTCCATTCATTATTTAGAAATCACATAGGAGTCTGTGGAGATGGTGCAGCTCAATTCTGCAGTGTGGAATTTGTCTTCATGAAGGAAAAACAGGAACTTGCTTTTGTCATTTCTGTGTTTTCTTCTCCTGCTGATTTATTGCTCTTTCAAGTCTGTCTTTACTGTTTTCGTCCTCCAGTTTTATCTTTCAGATTCTGTTTCATTTCTCCCCCTCTCTCTCCCACCAACCAAAATGTTGCCCTTTAAACAACAAGTCACATTGCAACGGTGAAATGCAGCCCGGGCAGGTGTATTGGTTAATTGGTAGAATTCTTTAATAGCAGTTTCTCTAATAGAATATTGAATATTATCTTTAGAAATCAGTAAGGCCAGGCGTGATGATAGATACCAGTAATCCCAGCTCCTCAGGTAGCTGAGGCAGAAGGATTGTGAATTTAAGGCCAGCATAGGCAATTTAGTTAGACCCTGTCTCAAACATTTTTTTTAAAGGCTGAGATGTATCTATGTGCTAGAGTGCTTGCCTAGGATTCACAGGACCTGAGTTCAAGTCCTAGTGCTGGGGCAGGCGGAGGCAGAAAGAGAAAACAATAATAAAAGCCTGAATTACTCTATAAAATTAATGCATTGACTAGATGATTGGTTGTGTTATACAGCTGTTTTGAGTGGATTATCTTTTTCTTACTCTCATTTCCTGATTTCTATTTTATGAAAGGGTCTTTTATTTGATCTTTCTTAATGATTCAGAAAATCCTACTCAGATAAATAATTATCATAGTTCTTCACAAACCTGCCTTTCCTTGCAACATTCTTTTTTATTCAAATTTATAAGATAATGTTGATTGTTTACTTGTTTAAAATATTCTTATACTGTCTTGCTTTAAGTTATCACCTTAGTAATTTTGGAATATCCAGAGAGAATAAAATCAGAATTCTGGGAATTGGTGGCATAACTCAGTGGTAGAACACATAGCACTTGCCAGGCTTTGGTCTCTGTCCCTCTAGCACCACAAAATGAAAGTCAGAATAATCAGAAGCCCAATGTAGTGAATTTTCCAACATAATGAAGAACCTTATCTTTTACTTTTAAAATATTGGAGGCTTTTATGCATTTTACTTTTATCTTCTGTATTATCAATGTTCTGGCAATCCTTTCACTTGTGGGATTTTGTAAATCCACGTTTGGATTATACACTTTAGGCTCAGGGAATCATGGTTTAGAAAAGAAAATTCCAGATTTCTTCCCTAGAGCCTTAGAGAGTCATTATTGTACAAATAAAAGAGTGCTTTGGTAATGGTCCCTTTTGTTTGCTTGTGAATAGAAAGTTAAGGCACACTATCCCTTTTTTTTTTTTTTAGGAAGTCAAGGAAAAAATAATTACTTAACTATACAAAAGTCAAGGATGTCCCTTTGGTTCTGTTTTATACTTTTTAGTTTTATTGTTTGTTTATTGATGTCCTTTGTGTATAGGCTCTTTCAAGAAAGGTCTGTATTTATCCAATTAACCTTTTAAAGGTTTAAAAGGCTCAATATAATGTTCTTTGAAATGAAGATTGCCACTAGTCCTGCCTTACCAAATAATCCCAAGATCAATTTTCTGCTAAACAAGATTACTAATGAAGAAACACTTATTCCTGTCAAGTTTGACTTTTGTCAAAGAAGTAGAGTACTACCAGCTAGTTTATTATTCAAAGAATCTGTGTGTTTCAAGGAATACTGAATATACGTGTGTGTGTGTGTGTGTGTGTGTGTGTGTATTTTTTTTTTTTTTTTGGTACCAGGAATCAAACTTGGGACCTTGCACTTGTGAGGCAGGCAATAGCACCACTGAGCTAAAACCCCAGCCCAAGGAGTACTAAATATTTAAAAAGAAAAACTAGCAAAAATGATTTCTTAAGAAACGATTGAGCAAATGAAAAAAAAAAAAAAAGCAAAGAAAGATGTCCCTGAAGTTGCTGATCTTTTTCTTGGCTTAATTGTATTTCCACACAATTATATATAGTAGTTGGTATATAATTATATGTAGTAGTATATATAGTGTGTATATATATATGTATATGTATACTATATACAAATATATATAGTAGTAGCTGGTAAACTACGTATATATAGTACATATAGTAAGTATATGTACTTACTAATTATATATACTTAGTATAAGTATATAAGTATATATAGTATGTATAGTATATAAGTATATATAGTAGTTGGTAAACTTTCAGTCCCTGAATTCTGTCATTATCCTGGTCATTTTGGAATCATATAATCTGTCAGTAAAAAACCTAGTAAATGCTTAACATTTACTGGTTATTTGGGAATTAGTAATTTTAGTCAAGGGATCTCAAGATCACCCCCAGATTCAGCAGTTCCCTAAAAGGAGTCTCAGAGCTGTAAGAAACTTTTGTACTCATGGAAACTAATAGACAGTGCTTAACTGTCCTACTAAAGATGTGTGACAGCAGGAGTGAAGTTTTACCAACCAGGAATCTCTCCCTGCTTCCTGTCTAGGATTTTTCTTGGTCAGTCTCATAGGCAGAGAGTGCCATGTGGCTACCTTTGGTTACTTGGTCCCTAGCATTTGCCCCAGTCAGGCTGCTGCTGTGTGGCCGAAGTCCCCAAATAAAACTAAGACATTTTATCAGGCAAGATATTTCAAAGGCTTAGAGTTATCTCCTAGGAGCTGGTGAAGGGCCAAATCTTTCTTTAGAATGTGCAGAGTTTGGCCACCCCAGCTTGCTGAGTTAATTATTGACTGCATGATGATTCATTAGGGAAATGATTCTGGTCAATAACTTGTTGCTGGTTGTCACCTAAGAGGTTAAAACAATTCTCTTGAGTGACGGTAGTAATCCCTTATATTTGTGTAGCTCTTGTCCCCCTCCCTTTCTCCCTGCCAACCTGTCTGCAGGAAATAGACACATACTCCAGGGACAGAGAGGTCTGTGAGACCCAGCTCACCCTGGATTAGGTGGGCATCTCTAGTTCAGGAGTAAAGGATTTGTAAGCCCACTTGACTGGAGAGGAGATCTAAAGCCATTATCTCTTTCAGTTGGTTCCAAACTCAGATGTAAAGGAGAAATGTCACTAACTGCTCTAACTTTACAGTTCATCTGGGTATCCTTCCCATTTTAGAAAGAAGATGGAAGATGTTTCTTTTTTTCTTTTTTTTTTTTTGTACCGGGGATCAAACTCGGGTCTTTGCACTTGCAAAGCAGGCCACCGAACCGCTGAGCTAAATCCCCAGCCCTGGAAGATGTTTCTTCTCTTGACTCTCCCCTAAGTTCTCCCACTCCAATTTTATTATATTTTCAGAGTCCCTTCATACAAGGGACTTCTAGAACCTTCACTTCATGAACTGTAAGGCCTGCCTATAATTATAAATATAGATATGTGGTATTTTGTGGGAGGATGTAGAGGGAAACGTGGAAAAAATATTTAATAGTCTTCTTGGCAACATTAATAAGACTAGCCACTAACAATTTTGAAAAAAATATTTGATGCATGTAATGGGTGCTGGGCATGGTGGTGCATGCCTGTAATCCTAGCCCTCAGTGGGCTGAGCCAGGAGAATTGCTGCGAGTTCAAGGCTAGTGAGGCCCTGCCTCAAAACAAAAAAGACATAATGAAGAAAAGAAGTTGCCATCAATCATTATGCAATGAAAATAAAAGAATGTAGGACCATAAATAAAAAATCAGAATTATGGATGGAGGTTGTTACTTGGCCACCTTTCCAGATGATACTTTCCTTTCTTTAGCCTTGCAAAAGGTAGGAAGAGAGTCCACAAGAAATGGAGGTTGAATTCCATGTAGCAAACTGAAAGCGTTCCCTGTAGCTTTAATTAGTGTGAAGAGGGGCAATAACTGGAATTATTGGGCTGAATTCTAGGATAGGAAGGGTTTGCAACCTTTAATTCCTAAAACCTAAATCAGACATTAACAGTATGCCTTATTTGGCTACTTAGATCGTTCAAAGAACATGTAGAAAGGCATCATAATATTGGGAAGAGAATGCACTTGGGTGCCACTTCTTAACATTGATATTACTATGTGAGGTTGTTATGTAAATTGTAAATATACAAAAATAAAGCATTCTTTAGAATGTCAGAGACACTAGTTTTGACAAGAGCCCTAGAAAACAAATGCAGCATTGGCAAAATCATGTTCTGCTTTCTGGCCCTCCATTCTGCCTCTGCTGTCCTGTCAGGGTCAAGCACCCCATGCTCCATGGCCTCTGCAGTCTGCCCCATTAGAAGCCTTTCATCCTTCTGTGGCTGCATTTTCTGGGATTTATGCTGGGAAACAATGAAGTTGATAGGAATCAGTTTGCAAATTTGAAGGGTGTGAAACTCTTCAGTTCATTCTACTACGAATGAAATGGGAATCTTACCTTGTATAAATATAGACAGTGATTCTTAAAAGATTTCCTATGAAAATTGAAATCTGTGATCCCAAATTAATCTTCTTTCTAGGTTTCCCATCTCTCAAACAAAGATTAAAATTCAATGTGTATGCTCCATGTAATAGGTTTTCTATAAATGCTGAAAAAATTTGAGGTAGGCCTTGCTTTCTGTTTGATTAAAGCATCTGCTATGTGATGACATCTAGTTAAGTACTTATGTCAAAAGAGAACACTTGGAACTCTGTGGAAGTTTTCAAATATGTGCACTTATTTCCACCTAGTACTTGTGATAAATCATATATTCTCCCTTCCTGGACTGTGGTTCCTACTCAGATCTTTATGTGGCAACTCCTCATCATTTGAATCTTAAATTAAATGTCATCTCAGTATCTTCATCAGTGAGTTCTACCAGATATTTAAGTTACAAATAATGCCTTTGTGATGCAAACTTTTGTTGGAGAGAACAGAGGAAGAGGTAGCACTGCCTGCTTACTCTAGGAGGCCAGCACAACTCTGATATCAACATTGACGAGGACGTTACAAGAAAAGAAAATTATAAACCAACACCCCTCATAAACATAGAACAAAATCCGTAAATAAAATCTTACCATTCCAATCCAGCAATACTTAAAGTGGATAAGAGAAAAATGTTACTTGACATTATTAATTAGGTCCCCTTTAATGTTTTTGAAAGCCCATAAGTTAGATCAGAATTCCTTTATTCTTTGATTATTCATATACTTTGACTATGATTCTATGTGGAATCATATGGCCCAGGAGTCATAAAAATTATACATTTTTCACCATGTCATTTTAATTTGTCTTCATCAAGATCAAGAATTGAGGTGTATTTTAGATATGAAATAAATTTATTTAATGACATTATTTAAAGTGTATTTTAATTCCAAAGTATTTAAAGTGTATTTTAATTCCAAAGTTTTCATATTCAGCTTTGGTATTTTTGGTAACAGGCATTTCCCTTGTCTTATAGATCAAGATATTTTGGAGACTATATTAATAGACAGCTATATATTCCCCAGCACCACAATAGTAAGTAGACAACTTTTAGAATTAGCATGTCTCATGATTATTATTGTTATTTTTGTTTTGTTTTGTTTTTTCAGACAGGGTCTCACTTTGTAATTCAGGCTGGTCCTGAACTCACTTTGTAGCCCTGGCTGGCCTTGAACTCGCAATGATCCTCCTGCCTCAGCCTCCCAAGTTCACTACAGCCGGCTTTTTTTTTTGGTACTGGGGATTGAACTTGGGTCCTTGCTCTTGCAAGGCAGGCCATGGAACTGCTGAGCTAAATCCCCGGCTTTTTTTGTTTGTTTGTTTGTTTCCTACTTCTAATACTTTTCATACTGACCTTTGTCCTTTCATTTTGATGACTATATCAAAAATTTTCTTTTTAAAAAGGTTTATTTCTGAGCTGGGGATTTAGCTCAGTGGTTCTGCCACCCACCTTACAAGCACAAGGGCTAGAGTTTGATCCCCAGTACAAAAAAAAAAAAGGATTTTTTTTTTTTACTCGATTCCCCTTTATTTTGAAGACCTTTCCTGTTTTCAGATTAACTAGACTATGTAAAAATTGTCATATTCCTGCTGGTTATGAAAAATAATGGAATATAAAATATTGCTATTAGGTATTGTTTGTCTACTTTTCTTTATATGTATTTCTCCTTGGTAGCCAGATCATTTGAGCAGTCTTATTATCGTGATGCTGTATGATTTCCAAGATAGAAAATTTCAAACTCGTGTCCTTCCTGACAATGAAGAGTCCATATCAGAAGTTCAAGAAGTAGAGAACCTTCTTAACAGGTAATTATACAAGTGAAAAGGAGTTTTTATATGAAATCAATACTAGTGTTGTCATTGGAAAAATTGTATACAGTATAATATGTAGTTAAGTATTAAAATTTATGGAGAAAACATATAAAAGTTCATAAGTTTATTGAGTTCCTTTACAGTCTTGAACAGATTCAAAATCAAATGGCAGACCAGGCATTGTGATGTACACCTGTAATCCCAGTTTAGGAGGCTGAGGCACCAGGATCACTAAGAGTTCGAGGCCAGCCTGGGCTACGTAGTGAGTTTAAGGCCAGCCTGAGTCACACAGTGATACCCTGTCTCAGCCCCACCCACAAAAAACCCCAAAAGAAAAATCAAATTGCTTTGAAAGCGTGAATTACAAGACACATGTTTATATATGTAGGGAATCATTAAAAAATCTCACAGTTTTTAGCACATACATAAATTGGACTTCATTAGAAACAGTTATTATTTGTTTCTTAAGCTTTATTTGCAGCTTAAAAAAAAAATCTAACATATTAAATGAGAAAACCCCAACAGCAGATAGCTTACTATTTTACCAAATTGAAAAAAAAAATCTGTTTCATTCAGAACAAAGTGGCATATTTTAAATTTGTTTTCTTTTTATCCTATATCAATAGAAGCCTACCTTGAGGATAAAAAATACCTTCCATAAAGTTTAGCTAGGAGGACTAAGTCAACTAATGCACGGAAAATGTTAAGCTTAAAACTAGATTCATAAACAGTCAATAAATCATAAGTGAAAATGGTCAATAAATCACGAGTATTATTGTTTGCTGTGGTTTGAACATGTCCCCGGAATTCATGTGTTGGAAACCTGGTCATCAGTGTGATGGGATTGGGAAGCGGGGCCTAATGGGAGGTTTGAGGTCATGAGGGCTTCGCCCCTGTAAATGATTGATACCATCATTAAAAGGACTTTTGGGAACTGGGGTGTGGCTTAGTGGTAGAACTCCTGCTTAGCATGTGTGAGGCCTTGTGTTCAATCCCCAGCACCCCCAAAACAGGGAGGTGATCTCTAGAGCATTTGCCCTCTGCCCTCCACTATGTCCTGACTCGCCTAGATGTCAACTCCTTGGTCTTAGGCTTCCAGAACCGTGAGAAAAATAGTTTCTGTTCTCTATAAATTACTCAGTCTCTGAAAGTCTATCATAGCAACATAAACAGGCTAACACACTGTCGGTTATAGCTTTTGTTATTATATTGTCGAACTTTAATAGCATGTACATACAGCAACAATGACAAGGTTACAGAAAAATTTTTACCTATCAAATAGTCTGACATAGGCATGTGTAGGATGTATGGTTTTATATTTTTACGGGCAATTCAAGCCATTTCATTTAAATTGTTGAAAGCTGAGAAGAGAGGACCCAGGTGATAAAGAAACCCTCACAGTATTATTGGACACTCAGTATGTCTCCATCATTCTTTTAAGAGGCTCTTTATATAACAACCTTATGAGTCAGTAACTGTTACCAACCTGTGATTTTGCACTGGGAAAACTGAGCAGCAGGCAGGATAAAGGAATCTGCCTGAAGACACAGAACTAGAAGAGGGAGTAGCCAGAATCAAGCTCAGGCAGTCTGACCTCAGAGTCCGTGCTTTAGCCATTTAGATGCCACCACTCTTTCTTCTTTAATCGCGAGGCTTGTCTGAGGGACTCTGACAGGTTAAGGATATGACATAGGCATAGCTTCTGTCAGTCATAGCCACTGGCAGGGAGAAGAACAAAAGCAACCCGATATGTGTGTTCTCTGTGTTGGATAAATAGGGATTCGGTCCCTGCTTACTGTTTGGATTCTGGGGAACAACCTCACTACCCATACCCATATTGGGCAAGCCCGCCTTCCAGGATGGCCATACCGGATGTGTGCAGAAAACTGGATGGAGCAATATGCTGTGGGACAGATTGTAGGTTTTAGTCTTTCTGTGCACCTCTCAGGTTGTTTTACATGGCTGGCACTTAGGACTTAATTTAATCTCAGAGGGGCTGAGGAGAGCTGAGGTTAGGCTGAGTTAACCAGGAAAGCCACAGGGTTCTAACCAAGTGAGAAGGACCAGACTATGGTTTCCTCCACAGTAGACTTGGGCGGAGGATGCTAATGAGGCAGGTGGGAACAAAGTGCATGGCTTAGGAGGACTGAGAATCAGGAGATGCTACTGTTTAAGGATTCCTGATACCCCAGACTTCTCCCTTTTCCTGTAATAAACACCATGCTCCTGGTCTTAACACAGATCTGGTTATATTGTAGTCAATGCAATACTACTAAACCTGTAGAGGTTAATATAATGTGGATCCTACTCCAGAACTAATCAGTCACATTATACGTAATTAACTAGGAAACTCAATGCATAAGATGGTATAGGAGAAATGCCTGTAGTTAGTGACTGAATTTCAGAAAACATTGGAATACAGATAAAGCCACAGTATTGTAATTAGGAGTCTTAGCTTTCGAGTAACAGAGGCTGTCTCCAGTTAGCCTGAGCTAAAGTGGAAAATGTTCTTAGAGGGATACTGGGATATCTAACATAACTCAAGGACTCAGGAAGAGAATGAAGTCAAGAACTGGAAAGATGCTAGGATTTTATTTTCCCTTCAATCTTTTTAATCTCTACTTTTCTCTTAGTATCTACCTCATTCTTTTTTCTCTGGAAATCTGGCTTCTCTGGCCCATGTGGAAAAAGGCCCCTGCTGCCCCTAGTACCTGAGCATATAGCCTATAGTTGGGTACTAGTTTCCTTACTTAGGCTGACTTCTTACCTCCCAATTCTACATTCATATGAGAGTTTTGATTGGCTCCATGTGGCTCAGGGTATCCTCTCAGACTGGTCACCCAAAGTCTCTGCAAACAGGACAGCTGGGAAGTTACTCCTGTGGATCTGGGGCTGTTGTTCCCGGCAAGACAGCACAGGAAGCCCAGAGTATACCTTATTATGTGTCTCCTCAGAGGACAAAGGTTAAGTTTAGGAGCCATGGAAGAATGGTTTCCTCCTGATAAATACTGTTGTCCTCCCTGGGGATTCTTCTCTTTTCTCACACTTGTACCCCAACTTGTATCTTTTGCTTCATTTATTCAAAGCTCTAGCGATCAAGTCAAGATGGTATCATTTATCATTTTTGACCTATGCGAGATCATCAGGAACCCATTCCTTGTATCAAATGCAGCTGGCTTTTAAATGCCATGTGGCTAGGTTAAAAAAAGACCACAGACAGTGTCTTCTTTTCCAGACTCTGTGCCTTCCCACCAGTCCAGGACTCTGCTTCGGCCAAATAGTTTGTTGAACTTGTATAGGCAAAGAAAAATTAGAGGCAGCCGGGGAAGTGTGGTAAGGAAGACCAAGTGAGTCCATCCTCCGAGACCATCCTGAGACTTTTGAGCCTGAAGTCTTGCGTGTTACAGCTGAGGCACCCTTGTCCCCTTTCCTCCCCTGCACTGCACCCTACTGTAGCTAATCCATCAAGTCCTGTAACTCCATTTCATGACACATGCTAATCTGTGCACATCTCCTTGCTACGCTGCTCCACCGTCTGTTGCTCGTACTGCAGGGATAGTGTCCTCACGGGTCTCCCTGCCTGTAATCCCTGCTTCCTGTAGTGCACTCCTCCTGGCAGGAGGTATTTTAAGCGGAGTGCTATTTTATTTTTATTATTTATTTTTTTGTGGTACTGGGGATTGAACTCGGGACCTTGTGCTTATGAAGCAGGTGGCGGAACCACTGAGCTAAATCCCTGGCCTGGAGTGGTATTTTAAATGTGTAATTATTTGGTCATAATAGACCATCATGGGTCAGACTTATTCTCTTACTGAGCAATTAGAAAACTGGATAAAACACACGAGGTGGCGGTTTTAGATGTTAGACAAGAAACAGCATAGGAAATTGATCCCTGAGAGGAGAAAAACAAATGTGTTGAACTCTGGAACCATCCTGGCTTTATGCCTAGAGGCACTTTCCATGCTGCAATTCAGGAAGTGGAAAATGGCAATCAAGTGGAGTTAAGAAAACAGAGATCAGCATTTCAGAAAGCTGAAATGCTCAGTTGTAATTTGCTTCCTTATTCTATTAGGTGGTAAGGTAATTCACATTGAGTGATTTATGAATGTTAGACCTATTGTGCAGCTAAATCACATCTGCTAGAAATTTTGTTTTTCTTATCTTTCTCAAGTCTCACATTGCCCATAGTGACCTGGAGTTTCTCAGCCAAAACGGCACTTAAAAACTTGTTGAAGGTTTTTTTTGTTGTTGTTCTGTTTTTAAATCTATTATGTTTGCTCCAGACCTTTTTTGGAAGCTCTTTGCTAGTTTCACTTACCTACCTAGTGAAAAGTCTGAAACAGATGTTGGTGTCTGATTTTATATTTTTCAAACAGAATTGCCCTTGACATTAATTTTCAATTTATGTTTAAAGAGAAACATTTCTAATATGTTTGTTAAGTAAACATTTCTGACAGTTCCAAAGCCAAAAAGGAGTAAAACCCATTTCATTAAAAAGTAAACTAAGGGAGTTGGGAATAGTGATGCATACCTATAATCCCAGCACTGTGGGAGGCTGAGGCAGGAGGATCACAGTTCAAGCACAGCCTGGGCAACTTAGTGATTTAGTGATATCCTGTCCCTATGCATACATAAATACATACATACAAACGAGGGCTAGGGATGTACCTCTGTGAAAACCTCAAGCCTCAGTACTGCAGTAAACAAACAAACAGTATAAGGGCAGGGGTGTGGCTCGGGTAGAACCCTTGCCTAGCATGTGCGATGACTTGGCTTGGATTCCTGTGACCCCACACACAATAATAAAGCTAACTAACTAAATCAGTGAGGGGAAGCGCTGTATTAGGGTTCTTTTTTGCAACTGATTGATTAGACAAAAGGGAGAATTTCTTTTCCCTTGCATGAAAGAACTGAACATGAGGATTCAGGTGGGCAGTGACGGAGCTCTGCACCTGCTAACTAGAAACTGCGCCCCATGCAGCATCAGGACTCTCGTCAGCTGTCCTCTTTGCTACAAAACTTCCGTGTGATGGCCAACTTGGCTACCAACAACTACATAGTTAGTTCAAGGCCAGTCTGAACTACAAAGCAAACCTATCTCAAAAAAAAAAATTGCGATGCCACATAAATTTGATAATTCAGTCAATAGAATTTGTTATGGTAAATTTGAACTCCATAGGAATTTAGAAAACCTGTTTTATCAAAAGTCTCTATAATCCAATATCTCACAATGTATTATATGGTACAGTATCTCACCACTTTAAATTCATCGTTTGATGTTCGTTAAGGTACTATGTCATTACTCTGTGACATTTAGACTAGAAACGGACAAATCTAATTTATTATAGTCCACTGAGGCTTATTGTATGCTAACCATTCCCTTTTCCCCAGGTGCCCCATGTTCTTTCTTTCTCTCTCCTACCTCCATGTATATTCCCACATAAACACTTTTATGGGTAAGAAGTTCTTACTCTATTGAGGGAGATTCTTGGCATGAGAAGAAAGCAATATTTAATAGTTGGTGCTAAAAAATATAACTGAGCCACATTGCTCCCCTCTCCAGCCTCCGAAACTTCTTTGGAACAGTTTAGCTGCCACCCCCCACCCCCAGTTCCCAGGTGATGGCCACTCCTTTCTGTCCCACAGAGAGAGTGCGATTCAAGTGGTATCCGGCTCTCCCCTGGGTGTGTGTGTGTGTGTGTGTGTGTGTGTGTGTAAAATCTCTTCCTCATTTCCGGGTTACACTGGCGCTTTATTTCAGTTAAATTCTTGCTGTAAAGATACTATAAATGTGGGTCAGAAAAATCTCTTCCTCATTTCTGGGTTACACTGGCGCTTTATTTCAGTTAAATTCTTGCTGTAAAGATACTATAAATGTGGGTCAGAAACAAGTGCTGTGTTCTCATTTATTAAAAGTGTATTATGCTTTGCTGGTAACATGAGCCAGTTGGTTTTCTTTTCTGCTATTTGGAACTTTTATGCATGGGCTGTTCAGCACAGAGTTGTGAAATTTCAACAGTAACCATCCTGTAGTGCTTGCCTGCTGTGTGCTCAGCACTGCTAAGTGTCTTGCTTGCAGGATCCCCAATAAGTACATTAATAGCAAGGTAAGTTGCCCACCTTCGCAGACAAGGAAAAGGCCAAGAAAGGAGACGGGATAACATCCCTGAGGTCTCACAACTAGTTAAGTGATAAAACCTGGGTTAACTTCAGATTTGTCAGACTCTAATACTTGTCTTTCAATTGGCAATTGATATAAATATTTGAGGAATGTACAACTATACAGGGACAAAAAAACAGAAGAAAGGTGTGAGGGTTATTTGCACTTCCATTTTCAAATATGACAACTTTTTATTTATGACTTCAAAATGTGAAATGGAATTATAGACAGATTGATTAAAATTCATCTAAAATGGATTCTCTATGTCTAGTTTTAAGACAAAATTGGCTGCAGCATTGGCAAGATGTCGAATCAAACATGACGCCCTTTCAATTTATCATATTCTGCCGGAAACGATTAGAAAACAGGAACTGAGAGCCTCTACCCTGCCACTTTATGCTTGGATAAATACTTGTAAGATAAGGTGAGAGTTTAATCAGATTTTAAAAATTCATACTCCATATTTCAAGTCTCCATCTTTTTAAATAATGTGATGAGAAAGATTATCTTTTTGCTGTTGTTGTTAGGGTCTTGCTATGTAGTTCAGACTGGCCTTAAATTCACTGTGTAGCCCAGGTTGGCCTCCAACTCGCTATGATCCTCCTGCCTCAGCCTCCTGAGTGCTGAGATTACAGGCATGTGCTACCAAACCTGGCTAGAAATATTATTTTTTTAAGGGTAAGGGATACACTAGGGCAATAATTACAGAGTTACAATTTAATTCCAGATCTTATCACCAAATTACCAAAGGTAATTACATAATTAACTTTTCTGTTTCTAATTATGTTTTAACTTCTTTTTTTTAAGAGTAGGAAAAATTTATTGAGGGAAAGAAAGCTTCTGTCTAAGAGAGGCAGCAGGGGGACTGGAAAGTGGGTTGCCTGCTTACCCTACTTCAAGATGTTTTGTGCAGCACAACCATGTGGTGAGGCGGTTAACTTCTTATTGTCTAAAATTGAGTTCCATTAGATGTAACATATGCAGTAATATTTTGTTGCAGAAAAAGGTGTTAATGTTGAATACATTATTATATTTGTATTAACAGTATTATATTTGTAATTACACCCTAATATTGTATATTTACAGCCCTGAAGAAGTTTATAGTAATTTGAGGAAAAAAGGCTATAATAAAGTCAAATCTGTATTGCATATTGATGATAAAGTCTTTGCTGTGGACCAACATTGCTATGATGTCTTAATTTTTCCATCTCACCTTAAAAAAGATCTTATAAATATAGATCTTTTCAAAGATTATAAACTTATTTTTCAGGTAAACTACTATTTACTTGCATTGTAATTTTCAGCAATTCTACTTATTCAAAGAATCCCTTTGAACACTGTTTATGTAACTTTTTAATGGGTTATTATGGGAGTTTATAAGGCTTAATTGTCACCATGAATTAAATTAATACCTCTTCAATCAGTGCTCCTTTTGTATCCTGGCATCTTAGCATCATGTGAAGTTGTAAAGAACATATTCTCCTCTCCAGACTCCTAGATAGAGAGGTTTCTGGCAGCTGAAAGGCTGTTTTATTTTCCTCTAAGGAAGGATTCAAGGGCTGCTACAATAAGACCTTTCTTCCTTTCACTCCGGGGAGATACCTGTGCCGTCTCCCATATGAAAAGGCAGTGCTTAACACTTCTTACATGCTCTTTAATATAGTCTTACAGCTTTGATTTGTAAGAGGTGTATAACAGCTATCAGTGGAAAAGAATAAGAGAAATCATGTAGTTTCAATAAAATGAAAATTAGATGGCCCACATAATTAGGTTAGATTCATTTTTGTATCTTTAGATTCTAGTTCTGGCCTGAGATTCACTAAAGTTTATTCCTTTCCCACATCCGTGTTCTTGGGCAGAATTTCTTACCTTATCAAGTACTGAGATCAACAGTAAACCCATTTTCTTTTTATAATCTTTTCAAATATCTTAATTTTAATATCTCTGGGCTGGTTATAATGCAGTGAGGAAGAAAAATGCAAGAGCAGATGAGTGGTTTTTTTTTTTTTTGTTTCCTTTGAATGGATTTTCTTGAAGGAATAAGAATGGGAGCTAAGACATTACTAATCTGTTAATCATACTTTATTGATTTATGCTGAACAAAGAGTTTGTTATAAATATATTTAGCAGTTTCTTTGTTAACTTTTATTTAGACATATATTGATATGTTTTAAACTAAAATGGGTTAAATATCTCTTCAAGATCCATACCAAGTACTTTCTTTTATCTAAAGCAAAAAGACATCAATTTATGTTTCTAGTCAGACCCTTTGAAATTCTAATCATACTGTTTTATTGTAGGACAAATCTCGAAGTCTTGCTGTCCATTCTGTAAAGGCGTTATTAAATATGGACGATGATATCTTAATAGTCAATACAGGTTCATGGTACACAGTTGCCCATATGTCCGTCTTAACAAGAAATAATACCTCAAAAATATTTGTATGTGGAGTACAGTCACAAGCCAAGAATCCTGACTTGAAGAACCTTTTCACAAAAATGGGATGTAAAAGTATGTATAAGTAAATATTTGGTGATTATTATTCTTCAGGACTTAAGATTAATTTTTTAAAAGTTTGAATTTATAATATTTTGGAGATGTAAAATCTCTATGCTATATTCTTAAAATTCTCACTGTATTATATCAGGCTGTTCTTATTTAATGTTGGTTTAACAGCTGTAGGTTAATTAGTAGATGGTACTTTCGAATCGTCTTTAGATGTAACATAATTTGAGGCTCAAACATCTGGTTGAAGTAGATGAGTATCTTCACTGAATAAATAAGAATACATTCACATAGTAGTTAATTAACAAAGATAATATCCAGGACTAGAAACCAAATATTTTAGGCGTCTTGTTTTTAAAAATGAATATGCACTGGATCCTGCAACCTAAAGACCACATTTTAGTTACAAACTCAGTAGGACCCAAAGATTAAGCAAAACTTTTGAGAGTCCTAGGGCCAAGGAGACAAAAAGTTGAATTCAGGGATTGACCAGAAGAAGTAGCCCGATAAATACTCAAGATTTTGCTTGAAGTGTAGAAGTAAACTCAGTCCTCCAAGAAACTGGAACCCAAATTGTAGTCATCTTACTCCTAATTAGATTGAGATGACCTGGGACTGCTAGTGTCCTGTCTTCCTAGGCCTACTTTTTGTCTGCAAGAAGCAAAAGTTAATTCTCTCTAAAAGCAAAAGACGCTAAGTAGAATCAGACCCACAGAGAATCCAGATACTGGACATATCTGATATGGACTTTAAAATAACTATAACTAATGTGCTAAATGCCACACTTTCCATTTCAGTACAGAACTGGAAACTATAATAAAAAAGAGCTAAAAGAAAATTCTAGAACTGAAAAATACAATATGTGAAATTAAAAAGTAAGTAGGACTGAGGTATAGCTTAGTAGTAAAGTGAGGATATATAAGGACACAGGTTTAATCACCAGCATCAAACAAAAAGAGAAAAGAAACAAATGGATGGATTTAACAGTAAATTAACAAAGCTAAAAGAAACGATTAGACTAATAAGCAGAAGAAAATATCCAGACTAAAATATAGGAAGACAAAAGAATGAATACCTTGAAAGAGGTCACAAGATGAACTCGAGACTGAGGTGATTCAGTGATCTCGTATGTTATGACTGGTCTCAAGAAGAGAGGAAAGAGTTTCTTAGGGAATTGAAAGGGAATGGTATTTGAATTTCAGGCTGAGAATTTTCCAACGTAGATAAAAGACTCTAAGCCACGGTTGAAGAAGACTTGAGAACTCAAGTAAGAATAAATGCGTGGGAAACATACTATGGTGTGAAAGTTTGATCCCCATATTCATATGTTAGACGTTTAACCCCCAAGATGATTGTATCAGCATTGGGATTTTAGGAGGTGATTTGGTGATAAGGTCAGAGCCCTTGTGAATGAGATTAGTGCTCTCATGAGAGAGACCCAGTTAAGTGGCTCCAGTCCACCATGTGAGGACACAGGAAGAAGGGGCTAGTTATGAGAAAGTGGGCCCTCAGACCCTGAATTCCTACTACCTCGATCTTAGTTTTCACAGCCTCCAGACTTGTGAGAAGCAAATTTCTGTTACTTATAAGCTGCTCCTTGTATATTTTGTATTCTCAATAGAGAAAGGTAATATCCTAGGCATATGGTAGCATAATTGCTGAAAACCAAAGAATAATGGTAAACAGCCAGGGAGAAAAATACATCCTACCTTCAATTAAATGGCAATAAACTCTAACAGAAATGATTGACGCTAGAAGGCTGTTTAACTGTATCTTCATAGTGCTGAAAGAAACTTCCAGGATAGCCTTTTTATGTCCAGTAAAAATAAACTTTGAAATAAAATGAAATGAAGATATAAAGGAAACACACTGTTTGGGTAGGAGTATTATGTTGAAAGTTGGGGTTGCTAAGTACATAGGTAAATCTAAATGACTATGGTGTGTCTTATGGGCTTACATACTACTGTCTGTGGGATTAGAAGTGTGTATGTTATGGGTAATTAAAATATAATAGTGGCACAGAATTTTAGAGAAAATGCAAAGGAATTGCTGTGTTCTTTGGTCCTTGCTTTTCTAGGAATAGATCAAAATAGTAAGTGATACTAAGTTAGTGGTGTGTGTCAAAATTTTTAGGATAACCAGTAAACAAGTAAAAGAAGAATGTATCATTAATAGATTAGAGAGGAATGAATGAAATTGGAATACCAATCAAAAAGAAGATAAAAAAGCCAGACGTGGTGGCACACTCCTGTAATCCCAGCACTCGGGAAGCTGAGGCAGGAGGATCGCTGTTAGTTCAAGGCCAGCCTGAGCTACATAGTGAGTTCCAGGTCAGTCTCAACAACATAGTGAGACCCTGTCTCAAAAAAAAAAAAAAAGAAAAAAAGAAAAAAGAAAGAAAGAAGAAGATAAAGAAAAGAAAAAGGCAAAACAAATAACAAACAGGATGAGATATTAAACCAAAGGAACTATATTTAAGTTTATATGTAACACATTAAAATATTTATAGACACATTATAAAGTATATATTACTTTTAAATATATTAAAATATATGGATTGAATACTTGAAATAGAGAAAAAGAAAGTCAATATTCTATTTTAAAAGATCAATTGTACACTGTTTATAAGAGATTCCCCTTAAACTTATCAACACTTTAAAAGGACACACAAATTTATGTAATGCATATACTGATAAAGAGGGCTACAAACACATTCAAGTCAAGAAATATTCCTAGAGTATGGGTGTAGCTCAGTAGCAGAACATATGCCTAGCATGCACAAGGTTTAATCTGCAGTGTTTGTAAAAAATCTTAGATATATTGGCCTGGGATTTAGCTCAGTGGTTCCACTGCCTGCCTCACAAGTACAAGGACCCCGAGTTCAATCTCTGGTACCAAAAAAAAAAAATCTTAGATATGAAGACGTTTATAATTATGAAAGGTTTGTTCATTGGGGTATGTAACAGTACTAAAGGTGTATGTATGTAACAACCCAGTCTTAAAATATATAAAACAAAACTCTTTAGAATAAATAAATGCTCTCTTATATAGAAAATATTAAGGAATACCTGTAAAAAGTATGAGAAACAACAAAGTAGTATAATAAGGTTGCCGGATACAAAATGAATATATAAAGATGTTTTATATTTTTATACATTAGCAATGAATGAAAATAAAAGTTAAAAAATTGTAATATCAGAAAGAATAAAATTTTAGGAATAAATTTAATGAAAGAACTGCAAGAGTATATTGAAAACTGCAAAACATTATTTAAAGAAATTAGACATGACATAAAGTACATTCTGTGTGTGGTTGTTTGTTTTGTTTTGTTTGAGACAGGGTCTCACTATGTAGCTCAGACTGGCTTTGAACTCACTATGTAGCCCAGGCAGGCCCTAGTCTGTCAGCAATCCTGCCGCCCCAGCCTCCCAAGTGCTGGTATTATAGGCATGTGCCACCACTCCTGCTCAAATTTTTTGCCTGTGTAATGTTCTTTTCAGATTTTGATATCATTTACAAAATGAACTGGAAAGTGTTGCCGAATGAAGCCTTCTAATAAATACATAAACACAAAATGGGCAGGTGTGGTGGCCCATGCTTATAATCCCAGCACTTGGGAGGTTGAGTCAGGAAGATTGCCACAAATTTGAGGCCAACCTGGGCAATGAGTTCAAGGCCAGCTTGAACTATATAGTGAGATCCTGTCTTAAAAAACAGAAAACAAAAAAGAAAAAATTAGTTTGGGCATATATCATACATGATCACAGTTATTAAAAAATCAATAAAATGTAAATACCTATGTAAGTAAAAACATTAGTAAATAATTTAGCAATATGTTAGACAGTATATTATAAAGAAGCTGAGTTTATTCTAGGAATGCAAAGTTGGTTAACTATTTAAAATGAATTTGTACAATCACCACTCACATCAATAGAAAAATTATTGATCATCTCAATAAGTGCAGTAAAGGAATTTGATAAAGTTTAATACTTGTTCATGACCTATCTGTAGCAAACACATTTGATGAAATGTTCAGAAGCTTTCTTTCTGATATGAGGAATTAAGCATTCTTATCATCACTGCTTACAATCAACATTTACTGGAGATCATAAGTAAGGCAAAAAAGGGAGAAACAAAACTGTCTATATAGATAACCTGATTATGTATATGGAAAATCCAAAATAATATACAACTAGAATCAACATGATTTTTGCAAGGTTACTAGATACAAAAGTAAGTTTTTTTCTGTATACCAACACAAGCTTGAAAATGAAGTTTTAAAAACATACCTTTTAAAATAGTATTCCAAAAACATGAAATATTTAGCAGTGCTTCTATCAAAAGAGTGTGAGACTTCCTTATCAAACCATAGAATGTTATTGAGAGGAAGACAATCTGAGTAGGTGGAGGGATAGAGCACAGTCATGAATTGAAAGGCAGTCTGTCATAAAAATGGGATTTTTGTCCAGTATATTCTATAGAGGTCCAATTCAATCCCAATAAAAATTCTAGGTTTTGTTTTTTGTGTGTGGAAATCATTTTTTTATGGTAATACCGAGGGCCAAGCCTACTCTCTGAAAATACTCCAAATGAAGAACAAAGTTGGAAGACTTACTTCACTGAAAGGTAGTGGTTTTTTGGCAAGACGGTCTCACTGTGTAGTTCAGCAGGCTGGCTTTGAACTCACTGTGTAGCCCAGGTTGGTCTTGAACTTATGGCAATCATCTTCCGTGCTGAGATTACAGGTGTGAACCACCACACTCAGCTCTCACTGGAAGTTTTGATAAAATCTAAAATGCCAAAATATTTAAGACAGCGTGAACGTGGGTAAAAATAGATCACAGGAACAGATCCGAGTCCAGAAAAGACCCAGATGTATAGAGTTGTTTCATTTATGACTAAAGTGATACTGTAGAGTATTGAGGAGGAGATGAGTTTTTTGGTAAATTGTGCTGGAAAAAAATGAAATTGACATTTCATAACAAAGCACTAATCTAAAATCTTTCAGAATGTATTACAGAGAAATGGGTCATGACCTGGAGGTAGGTTAAGAGTTCTTAAACAGTACACATAAAGTCCTAACTATAAAATAAATGGTTGATAAATTGGTCTATAGAAAAATTTTTATTTCTTCTTTTTTTCTTTTTTCTTTTTTTTTTTTTTTTTTTTTTTTTTTTTTCTTTTTTTTTTTTTTTTTTTTTTTTTTTTTTTTTTTTTTTTTTTTTGGTACCGGGGATCAAATTCAGGTCCTTGTTGTTTGCGAGGCAGGCGGCGGAACTACTGAGCTAAATCCCCGGCCCTAGAAAAATTTTTAAAGCCAAACCAGGCATTAAAAGAGCGCAAAGAAAAACCATAGCGATGTACACAAATTGATGAAGAGCTTTTATCGACAGCGTATAAAGAAATCTTACAAATTAACAATAAAAAAAATACTTCAAAAATATGCAAGAGACATGAACAGGTGTTTCACAAAGATATCCAAATGCCAAACAAGATAACTTGTATAAAAATATCAAATCCCATTAGTAACCAGGGAAGTGCAGTTAAAATGACAACAACTTGCTACTCCATACCCATGGTGTGATTAAAATTTAAAAGAGTGGTAGAGCATCTGGAGGGGTCAGACACTGTGGGCAGCAATTACATTTGTCCAGCCAGTTTGGAAAAGCAGTTTTGTTCACTCAAGTTGAATATATACCTGCATTATCACCCAGCTTTTCCTCCCTCTAAACAAGTGTAAATATGGTGAATACTGCTGCTAAGTGCCATCCCACAGAAAGGCAGGGATCTCGAATACAACAAAGCATTGTGTGGAACTTTAGTAACAGTGTATGTATGACACGTTTCAACCACGGTTCCATTCAAAGCATGTGAATAGCAGATTTGTACTTGAGGTGAATGAGTGCAGAATTTGTTCACATGTTTTGACTGTTGAAGAAAAGCAACAGGTTTTATCAATTTCATTGGAGTTGTGTGAGTGGACCGCTTCAGATTCCAGCTTTTAAAGAAACCTCATCACAAGTGATGAAACTGAGGTATATAGTTATGATCTTGAGATCAAGATTCAGAGTTCTCCATGGAAATCGCCCAGTTCTTGTGTGAAAAAAGCTCACCAATCAAGACCCATTCTCAAGGTGCTGTTGATTGTATTTTTTGACCTTGTTAGAATTGTGCGAGCTGAGTTTATACTCAGGATTAATACTGTGAACTCTGAATATTATAAAGGCTTTTTTGGAGCAATTTAAGAAACTCATGAAGAGGGCCGGGGATCAAACTCAGGCCCTTGTGCTGGCAAGGCAGGTAATGGAACCACTGAGCCAAATCCCTGGGAATTTACTATTGCTACACTGGGGACAAGCTTCTAACACACAAATCCCTGGGGGATGAACCATACCCAAACTATAGAACATTATTTGTGATAGCCTCAAAGTAAAAATAACCCAAATATCTATGCCATAGAATTCTATACAAATGGAACAATTCCACACCTGACAACATGAATAAATCCTACAAACATAATATTGTAGATTATAAGACAGAGAGTTAGATGGAAAGGCACACTATTAATAAAAGGAATGACTCACTAAGAAATTTTAATGACTTATTCATTCAACAAATATATACCAGAGTTTTTTTGTATGCTCTAGGGGTACAGCAGTGAAGTAAAATCTCTGCTCTTCTGAAGTTTATAGCATAGGAGAGGCAGAAAAATATACACTGTGAAGAAAATAGTAGGTTACAGGGATAGTGCTGTGAAGAGGTTGCTCATTTATTGCAGCGGTGATCGGGAGAGGTTTGTTTTTTTTGTTTTTAGGAGAGGCCTTTCTGATAAAGGGGTGTTGGAGAATTGAGCGAAGACTTGCGTGAGTCCGCGTGGAGTAACACACGTGGAGCGTGTTCAGAGTAGTAATAGCCAAGTCCTGAGGTTGTAGATGCTAGCAAGTTCCAAGAACAGTCAGAGGAAGGGTGGTTGGGGCAGAGTGAGTGAGAGGTGTGAGGAGTTCACAGAATGTGTTGGTACAAAAATGGGGCATTCTGTGCCAGAGGAAGGGCTCGGATGTTGGATGAGATGGGGCTGCATCACGGGACTTCTAGCAGAGGAGTGATGAATGTTTGAGCATTTGGTTAGTCCGCGGGTTTGCACGGGCGACTGCATGCAGGTCAGGTGTGACACTGACTTCCGCCAGGTGGGGTGTGGGGGTTGTGAGAAAGGGCAGACTGCGTCTGTCTGGACCGTGTGTTTATTAGATTAAACATGGGCTGTGGGCAGACACAAGGGTTGGGATCAGTGAAGGCTGTTACTTGTTCAGCTGGAAAGGTGAGGCTGCCCTTTCCTGAGATGGGAAGGCGCTATAGGAGGAGTTAGGTTGTGGACAGGATGGATGTGAGATGCCGGCCACTAGGTGGCAGTGTCTGTCAGGCATCTGGGTGTACACATAAATCTGGACTTGTCATCATGTCGATACCATTTAATGTCATGACTCTTGGAAAGAAATCCAATGACTGACACCTGGACATACCATTACAAAGAGGGTGGGAGATTGAATAAGGAGAATCCACTAAGGAGGAGGAATCAAGAAAAAGTGGGCTCAGAAACTGGGCCAGTTGCCACTTTTTGTTGCCTTTGTGATGCTTGGGCACCACCCTGCATTTTCCACTTCCCTGTGCCCAGCTGGCTCAGCAGTGTTCGCCTCTGCCATTAGAGAGTTCTGGAGAGGCTCCTTTATCCCTGGGGGCTGTGTAGCGTCCTGGCAGTGTCACCCGGAGCATGTTTCCTTGGTAACCCTGCCATACCCTCAGAGGGTTGGCCTTAAGGTAGGGGCCCAGATGGTTGTAACCTGAGGGAAGGGAGGCAGACACTCTGAAACAGAACCACATGGTTCTTAGTGGGGTGACTACTGACGTTCACCAGTCTGTACAGGTTTGGCGCCTTAGACTGCTTTTTAAATGTTCTCCATACCCATTTATTGTTCTGGGAATGTTAGAATATAAAGGGATAAAAATGGGAGAGCCTTTGCTGGATATGAAATACCACACTACTTTGTCTCAGTGTTGACCACAATTATATAAGGAAGTCATCCCATTTTATGCATAAGGACATGAGGCTTACAGAGCTTAGGGCACACAGGTCACAGATGGTGAAGCTGGGAGTCAAACTTGAGTCTTTCTGCTTCCAAAGCCCATTTTCCACACTGTCTCCTACTCCTTTAACTTGAATCTGAAATTCAAGATAAAAACTTTAATTTTCAATTTCAGAGTCTTCCTCTCAGGTGGAGAAGGCACTTTATTGAGAAAATTCCTGCATTGACTTTGGGATGTTATTAGAGAATAGTCCTCTTTTCTAACTATATTACAATGCGTTTTCGTGGATTGAGGATTTTAAAATGAATAATACATAGATAAATTCAGATTTTAAATTAATATTTTAACTAAGTTTTGTTTTTTTTTCCTCCTAGATATTGAAATACTTCGTGAAACATTTGTTAACATTGAATCAAAGGACCACAGGTTACAGAAAGTTAAAGTGATCTTGCTGCTTCCTCGGTGTTCAGGAGTGGGTGTTAGTAATCCAGTAGAGTTTATTTTAAATGAATATGAAGGTACCTGTTTTAATTAATTTATTTATTTATTTTTTTTGAGACAGGGTCTCGCTATGTAGTTCAGAATGAACTGGAACTCACTATGTAGCCCAGGCTGGTCTCGAACTCACAGCAACCCTCCTGCCTCTGCCTCCCAAGTGCTGGGATTACAGGTGTGCACCACCATGCCCGGCTTTAATTTCTGAATTATTAAAATTAATTGAGTGGAGCCCATCAGTTTTTTGAAAATGAATATTCTCTCTTTTCTGTATTCATCTCCAGGTTGATTTCATTCTTTCTTCCATGCCTAAATGACTGACATGGCTACTTGGATGACTGTTTCGTAGAGACTTGAAGGAAAATACTATTAAATATTTTCTATGCTCTTTTTGAAAAACAGTACTGCACTAATTATAATTTTAAGTTGACTTTTTAATAGTATCTATTTAGTTTTGATAGATATTTTCTGTGAAAATTTTCATTAGTAGGCAAAATAATTGAAAAATAATGTGATAATAGTAAAAAGTACCTCACAAGAATATATTTAAAAGTGTTTGTTTACTTTTTAAAATGTAGATACAGATTTACTTAAAGATCTGTCCCAAGGAGGGACATCAGAAGATAAACTTCGGGTTCTTGCTCAACAGCAATATGAACAGCTAACACATGCAATGAAATGTAAGTTTCTCATTTGTAATGTTGAGAATCTTGTTAAAATACAGTGTGAATCTTAGAAACATGAATATTTTATTATATTAAAGCAGTGAAGTGGGAACCATAATCAAATTTTCCAGAACATTGTTTCAGTACCTTCACATCACAAAATGTTTATCTTTATCAATGTAATCTGAGTTTTTTTTTTTTTTTTTTGGTACAGGGAATCGAACTCAGGACCTAGCACTTGTGTGGCAGGTGGCAGCACCACTGAGCTAAATCCCCAGTCCCTAATCTAAGTCTTTTAAACTGTATGGGTTATTGTTTTAAACATAGGTTAAAAAAAAAACAACAACATAGGTTTGCTAGCATAGTTTAATTATCTTAATGTTGAGGTGAAATAGTTATGCACATCTATAATTGTACATTTCCACCTTCCTGTTTCTGCCGTAGACATCTTACTTGATCTCATTTTTCTGTTGTCATTTTGCCTACTCGTAAGAGCTCTAATGCAGTCCAAGTTTTGTTTTTGTTTTGTTTTTTGGTACCGGGGATTGAACTCAGGACCTTGCTCTTGCAAAGGCAGGCAGTGGAACCACCGAGCTGAGTTCCTGGCCCCCACAGTAAAAGTTTTAATCTAGCTCTCACCTCTCATAGAGCTGAATTGAGAACAGAAAGTTTTCATTACAGACGAAGCTTGCTCTCTCGACCTGAAGTCTGAATAACGAGGCTCTTTAAGGGTGACTTACATCACTGCTTCAGTCACTCCATTTAGATTTTTATTTTTTTTTTGGTACCCGGGATTGAACTTGGGACTTTGCGCCTGCCTGAGCTAAGTCCCTGGCCCCACTCCATTTAAATTTAAGTACCATTCAGCTCTTGAGTACCACTGCATTTCTGCTGGTGGACATAGAAATCTAGACATCTCCGAAGAATTATTCACCTTCCATTAGTTCTGAGTATATTTATCAAGTGGGTACTCTGGGTTGGATCTTAAGCTGGGCATAGGCTGATGAACATGAATACAATCCTGATGAAGGCTCCAAGATGAGTCATAGATGATTCAGTACATAAAGACAGACACGAGGTAGGAATATGGCACAATAGCACAGAGGAAGTCTGCCCTTTTGGTAGATATTTGAGTGTAATAGTATTGGATATGAGCTATTGAAATAAATTGGCTGGGAGATCAGGAACTTGGAACATACATTTTATTAGTACATGTTTGCAAAACACAGTGAATACATTCATCCTGGGGAGTTGGTATATATGCAGATCCCATTTTACTCCTTTTTACTTCTTCTCATTTACCTCTCTTCCCCTAGATCCTCTTCCCATCTGCAAAAGGTCTACCTTCCTGTTTCCTATCATCTATCTTTTATTTTGCTTAATTATTTATACTGTGGCTTTCTCATATAAGAAGAGCCATGGAATATTTAACTTAAATAACATTTTTTACTAATGCATATTTATTAAATTTTAATTGAATATTTAAAGCTTAAAAAAGCCTTCAGAGGGCCGGGGATTTAGCTCAGCAGTTCCTCTACCTGCATCGCAAGCAGAAGATCCCGAGTTCAATCCCTGGTACCAAAAAAAAAGTATTCAGAGAGAGTTATGAAAAGCAAAAGGATTTAATGATGTAAGCTCTCTCTCTCTTTTTTTTTTTTTGATGTGAGCTCTTTCATGATGCCAATAAATATATTTGGCAGCCCTTGAGATTATGATAGTTTACTGGAAGATGTAGTGTAAAACAAAACCATGTTAGGTAAAGTGAGTAATTAGGAGTTTGTCTCCAAATTTTGACAGAAATAACTGAAAATGGGCTGGGGATTTAGCTCAGGCATGCCACTGCCTGCCTTGCAATTGCAAGGTCCTGAGTTTGACCCCTGGTACAAAAACAACAAAAAAGAAATGAATGAAAGTTCCATTTGAAATTAACCATTTCAGAGATAATTATGCTCAGTCCTCTTATTGTGAAAATAATTTTTAAAATATTTGAACATTGATCACTTATTAGTTGGGCACCTTGCTATTTACAGTATTTGTGTATTATTTTATTTAATCCTTATGAAATCATCTCTCTGAGCTTCTCTTGTCTTCTTTGACCACAGCAACAAGAGGGCCTAGGCTTCTCTAATTCCTTTACCCCCTAAACCTCACAGCTACTCTAGAGAGTAGAGTCCCTGCTCTCTAAAATCACTGGACACACTTCTCTTTAGATCCTTTATCCTGTGAAAGGCCCCTGAGTCAGTCATCTCCTGCACTCAGGTCCCTGTGGCTCTCTTCAGAGCCCCTGTCTCCTCCTCTTCCTGCCCGTGTGCTCCAGAATTCATAGCCCCTCACCAAGAACAATCTCCTCTATTTTAACTTCTCTGTTTTTTTAATTGAGTTTATTGGTACTTTTTAAATATATATAGTACAATTTTGATTTCTCTTTAAATGTTCTCTTCTCTCTATATAACTTGCCTTTTCCCTAAGAAGTGTTTTTCTAAATCTTTCCGCCGTTTTTTTTTTTTTTTAAAACCTGTTACCGGCATATTTTCATTCCTTCCAGTAAGCTGAGCTGGTCTCTTGAAGATCCTCAGTGACCCCATGCTGTCAAATCAACTGGCAGACCTTGCTGCACCGTGACGACCACACCCTCTCCCTTCCTTCTCACCCTCCTCCATCTCCAGACAAACCACATCTCTGCCTTTCCCATTCCCGGGTCGCTGTGTCTTCCTGCTCTCGGCCCCTGTGTCTCGTTGGAGTGTGCCACAGCTCAAGCCTTGCATCTTTTCTTCTGTCTGTACTACATTCCCTTAGTGATCTCATCCAGTGTATGGTTTTAAACACTTCCATGTGACTCCCAAGTTTATATTTTCTGTGCAAACTCTAGGCCTGTAGCTCCAGCCACCCTCCTGACATCTTCCATTAGTGACTAGCAAGGCTCACAGGTCCAAAATGGAAATCCTGATCTTCCACCCAAGAAACAGCTGTTCTTCCTGCAGCACTTCTATTTTAGTTAATGCCAATATCACCTTCTCTTTGTTCAAGCAAAAAACGGTAGCATTGTCCATGACTCCTCTTCCACACCCCCAACCAGCTCTGAGCAGATGAAGTGAGTTCTACATTCAGTCTCAGCCACCTCCACTGTCTGCCCTGTCCACACCGTTACCTCAGCCCAGATCACTTCAGCAGCCTCCTAATTTGTCTGTCCGTTTTCACACCGCCCCCTACTGTCCATTCTCAGCACAGCATCTGGTTTCCCACCTTGAGTAAAAAGTAAAGGAAAAGCCACAGCCATTCATTCTGTGGCCCCAAGTCCTGGTACCTTCAGGGACTCACGTCCCCTTTTCTGACTTCATCTCCCCTCACCCTGTCCTCGTTTCCTTTGCATCCCCCAAGACACGTCATCACCTACCTCTGTGTGTTTCTGTTTTGCTCTTTGTGCTGTGCTAGCCAGTGAGCTCCACGTGACGGGGATTTTTCTCTGTTGTTCACCCATGTGTCCCACATTCTGTGACAGCGCCTGGCATGTGGCAGGGGCCCAGTAACAATGAGCAAATATGTGAGTTGCAGGTGGTGGGACCTCATTTTACAGACAAAGGATTTGGGACTCATTTTCCAAGGTTCACACAGCATTCAATGGAGTCCTTACACCAATTGGATGATGAAGTACAGAGGAATGGCTGAAAGCATCAAGCTCACAGCAGCCTCCAGTGTTTCTTTGTGTTTGTATCCAGTTGGTCCCATAGGTTGAATTTTCAGTCTTGTACAGTCTGGTTAGATTTGCTTTAATTATTGGCTACAGACTACATCATTAATACAGTTTATGCTTTAAAGGAGAGCCATAGTGGAAATCACCCCATCACAACCTGGTAACGCAGCATGGTGGCACATACCTTTAAGAAACTCCAGAACTCAGGAGGTGGAGGCAGGAAGATTGCCATGAGTTCGAGGCCGGCTTGGGCTACATAGTGAGTTCAAGGCCAGCCTGAATTACATAGCAAGATCCAGTCTCAAAAAACCAAACAAATAAACAAAGCCTGGTGGTATTCATAGCAAATACATGTCTGGAAATATAGTAGATGTGCCGTGGCTTGCTAATGGGGCCATTACATTGATTCCATCTTCCTTAATTATAGTTACCAAAGTGCAAGCAGTTGTTTACTGCACATGCTCAGTTTATCCAGAAGAAAATGAAGTGGTTGTTAAGAAAGCCCTGGAATTTCAAGATCATGGGGTTAAAGTGCAACCTTACAGGTAAGAAAAGGATTCTAACAACTTAAACATCTTTGACAATGAAAAATGTTATTTTCTAAGTTGTTCAAAGTCTCTTTTCTTTTTATTAGGCTTTAATTTGACCAAATAACCTAACTTCTGTTTACAAGTGTAGATTCTGTAGTGGCTTTGCATGAACATCCTGTAGCTTGGAATGATCTCTCTCTCTTTCTTTCTCTCTCTCTCTTTCTCTCTCTCTGGATAACTATGTAGTTCAGGCTTCAGGCTGGCTTTGAACTCACTGAGTAGCTCAGGTGTCCTTCAACTCGAGGTGATTTCCTGCCTCAGCCTCCCAAGGTCTGGGGTTATAGCGTGCGCCACCACGCCTGGCTGAGTGAACATTTTCTTATACATAAAAAGGTTCTTCGGTTTTTGTTATTGTTAAAGATAAAGACATTTTTCTCTTCGACTTGATTGGATATGTGCACATCTCCACAGAAGAACAATAAGCATTAAACGACTGTTAGCAGGCAGACAGAGAGCTGCATGTGCATTATCTGAAGACACATTTCTTAAGCCCTTCTAGCCTTCGGCACCCACCAGGACAGAGGTAAAAATAGCCTGGGATCTCCAGTAGCCTCAGGGTAAAATGTTGCAGCCTGAACTCTTGTCATCGAGATGAGGAATAGCTCTAAGAATAAGTGCTGCCAGTTAGCTCCTCAAGACAGAGGATGGGTAAGGGATTTTAAACCTCTAGTTTTTTTTTTTTTTTTTTTTTGGTTTTTTTGAGACAGGGTCTCACTATGTAGTTGAGACTGACCTGGAACTAACTATGTAGCCCAGGCTGGTCTCGAACTCACAGTGATCCTCCTGCCTCAGCCTCCGAAATGCTGGGATTTCAGACATGCGTCACCATGCCCAGCTAAACCTTTAGTTTTTTAACTTGGCTGTCAGCTGTGAACTTGTCCTCAAATTCTTGATGTGCCTGTGGTCTGCTCCTTCTTTTTAGCTTGTCATTTTCCTTTTGCTGTCTCACGGTGGACGTGTGGATCATAGCCACAGCTTTCTTCTTTTTTTTTTTTTTTTTTTTTTTTTTTTTTTCCTTCTTCTGGTACCAGCAATCAAACTCAGGTCCTTGAGCTTGCAAGACAGGTGGAAAAACCACTGAGCTCAATCCCTGGACCCCCTCAGCTTCCATCTTGATGACTTTCTTTGCCTAAAAATTTTTTGGGCAATTGTGTATCTTGTTCATCTGAAGTTGACATTTCTTCGTGTTTAAATAGTTGCAAAATACATTATTTCTAGACTATTATCTTACATATGTTTTAAACTTATTGCTATTAAGTATAAAGATTTTCATTAATTCTTTGGATCTGTAGATTTATCTTGTTGGATTTATGGAAAAATGCTGAATTTCTTAATTCTTTGTCTAAACCACATTTACCTTGTCAAAAAGTCTGCCTTAATATGGCTTTGTAACATAGAAACAAAGAAGGGAAAGGAGGGAAGAAATACTTTCTTTAGAGGAAGTACTTGAGAAAAACTGTTTAAGAACCCGTGTTCTAGACTCTTCCTGCCTCATCAGTAGGTAAGAAACATGGTCAGCCTCGCTAACGGAGAAATGAACTTTGAATCAACAATGAAATCTCATCTTTTTGCCCCTCAGATTGGTAATGATTTAAAGTCTAATAAACCCCAGCATTTGTGAAGCTGCAGGGAAACAGATTTATAAAAGTAAATATTTTGGTGCTTGATTTACCAATTCTGATGATGGAAGGGAAGGAGGGAAGGTCAGAGAGAGAGGGAGGGAGGTATGCGGTTCAGGAACAGCTTTCTTAAAGACTTCTTGGCAAACTGTCTTGCCGTGAGAGAAGAGGGCCGTGTCCCAAGCTGTTCCTCTTCTTAGCACCCAGAGATTTTAACATCCCAGGACAAGGCACTAAAACAAGCTGGGTAACAGTTGTGCCCTTTTTGTTGCGTGGTTAAGTGGGAGAAGGGTACTGTGAATGGAGACAGGGAAATGTGGATGTAAAATACAGTCAGTGATATGGCCCACCTCTTGGGCCTTTCTGGGGATTGACTGTATGAATACATAACAATACTTGGCACTTTGTAAATGTTCAAAAATTGTTGTCATCATTGTCATCAGTGTTATCAATCTGTAAACTGTATGTTCGTGTACTTTGCTACTGTTCAAGTGGATAATTAGTCTTTTTCTTTGTCTGTATTCTGTTGCATATTAGGGACATTAGTTGCTTTCATATGAATTACAAATACGATTATATTGCTTATCAATTTTTCTTTTTCTTTTTAAAATTATTGTTACCTAGTACATAAACAGTACATATTAAGGGAGAACCATATAATGTTTCAATACATGTATTCATTATATGACAGTTAAATATATCTGTCTCCTCAAGCATTTATTGTTGCTTTATGGCAAAAACTTTCAAAATCTTTTCTTGTAGCTCTTTGAAATGTACACTGCTATTACCTGTAGTCATGTTCCTATGCAGTAGCACACAGAACTTCTCCTTAACTGTAGAGTCTGTCACTCAGCCTTTCCCCTTTCCTACTCCCAACAGATATTTCACATTTTTGTGTAGATAATTGTATTAATCTTTTCCTTACAACTCCTACGCCTGAGGTAAATTCAATACCCAATTTAAAAAATCTTTTTGTTAGTTTTCTTTTAGCCCTTTTATAACTATATCTTTTTATATTTAAATAATTTACTTATCTTCATCTCTATAAATAAAATATGGGTTGATTCCTTCCTCTCACTCTTGCTCTTGTTCTCTGTCATACTGGGGATTGAACCCAAGCCCTTTCCTCTGCACTATACACCTAACCATTTATTTATTGATTTACTTATTGTTGTTATTGTTTTTATTTTGAGACAGCTTTCACTAAGTCACTGAATTGCTCAGTTTGGGCTCAAATTTAAGATCCTCTTGCCTTGATTTTCCAGAGTTCTGGAATTACAGTGTGCACCACCAAATCCAGTTTGGATCAATTTTTATTTTTTCCCCAAATTATCTTTCCCTGCCCTACCCCCAGCTACTATTTTAAATGCCATTTTTTTGATATGCTATAATCCCATTTATACTTCTGTGTGAGTCTGTAATTCTATTCCATTGAATTCTGATTATTTCTATACCAATATGACAATGCTTTAATTACCGTAGTTTTAAATAGCTTTTTAAAACTTATTTTTGTTAATTACAAAAACTCATTCACATTTACACATCAAATAAAATAGCCCAAAGACACATAATGAGAGGATTACTAATTTCCTCCATTGTCTCTGCTCTTGGGAATCCCAGAGTTTCCCCTTAGCACTAAAGCAGGGCCCTGTGGGGTTCCTTAATGAGCCAGGTTTGCTGTTTGTTCCTGTTTATGATGTGAAGGTCCAGGGGAAACCAGAGGGACTGGGCGCGGGATGACATCAACCTAGAGGTGTGGTATTTTACCGCCATGGCAGTGTCCCACTGAATGTGGCCAGAGGATGTGTGTGCAGTATTTTGCTATGGGTGACTCACACATTAAGTGCACATAACTTCTTTTTTTACTGAGATTCCCCATACTGTACAATTCACCGTTTTAAAGTATACTATTCAGCACTTTAAAATTCTGTATATTTACAAAGCTGTGCGGCCATCACCACTGTGGATTTCCAGCACATTTTCATCACCCCTTAAGAAACCCCCATCCATTAGGCAGCCACTTGCTGTTCTGCCCCTCCCCAGCCCTGGAAACCACTAATCTACTTCCTGTCCCTGTGGACATGCCTATTCTGGGCATTTCATATAAATGAAATCACACAGTGGGGTGGTCTTTTGTGTCTGGATTCTTCCTCTTGCCATATTGTTTTCAAGGTTCATCCACGTTGCAGAAGTATGAGAATAGCATTGTTTTGAAAGGCCAGATAATCCTTCCATGGTATATGTTCATTGGTTTGATGGGCGTTTGGGTTGTTTCATCTTTTGGGTGTTAAGCATAATCCTGCTGTAAGATTTTGTATACAAGCTTTTGTGCAGACACAGGTATGCATTTCTCCTGGGTGTATTACCAAGGCGTGGCGTTGCTGGGTCACGTGGCCGCTCTGCGTTTAATCATTCAGCGGGCACACTTTCCCAGAATACTTGCATTATTGATATTCCCATCAGCAGTGTAGGAGGGTTCCAGCTCCTCCACATTCTCACCAACACTGTTGTTTTGTTGTACCTTTTAAATTCTAGCTGGCCTTCTGGGTGTGCAGTATATTAAGTCGTTATAGTTTATAGATTTGTATTTCTCTGGTGACCATGATGCTGAGTATATTTCCATGTGGCCATTTGTTTATCTTCCTCTGACAAGTGTTCACTCCTATCTGTTGCTAATTTTTAGATCGTGTAATGGTTTAGAAATAAAATGCACCCCAAAGCCTCACGTGTGTTGGATCCTCATGTGTTTGGATCCTGGGGTGCTGTAGCTGACTGGCTGTCAGGAAGTGGGGCTTGTGTGGTGGTGGGGGCATGACCTGGAAGGGAATGTTTCTCCTGGGCTCCTCCCTTCTCTCTCTGCCTCCTGGCGGCCATGGGTTGGGCATATTTTCCTCTGCTTTGCCCCTTGCCATCCCGTTTCTGCTTTGCAGCCTGTCAAACATGGACTGAAACCATGAGCCAAAATAAACCTCTCCTCTTGTAAGTTGCAGGTGCTGGGTATTTTGTCCCAGTGTGGAAAGGTGACTAAGACAAACTGGGTTATTTGACTTTTTATTGTTGATTTGTAAGAGTCCTTCTGCATGCCAGACTCTTATCACATACTGATTTGTAAACATTTTTCCAATTCTGTGGGCTTTTTACTTTCTTGATAGTGACCTCTGATGCACAAATTTAATTTTGTATAGTTTATCTATTTTGTTGCTTGTGCATCAGGTGTCCTATCTGTGAAACTGTCACCTATATAAGGTCACAGAGATTTACAATTATGTTTTCTTCTAATGCTCATCAGTAGCACATATACCTGCCTCTCGAGGAGAATCTGCGTGTCTGGACTGTACGATAGAGGTGGCTCCCACCATCCTCACTGCTGTCGGGGAGCCCGGCCTAGAGAAGACTCCATGGTGCTATGGTGCCCTCTCCCCAGCACTTTCCTCCTATTGCTCCATGAGGGTGTCCCAGAGCCAGCTCTCAGCAGAGTCCTTCCCCTAATAGGACATCTCCTCTGCTACTACTAGCCGTGGCAGGCTGGTGTTCTACCTCACTTAACATGATCCATTGTGTACTCGTTTTCTATTTCTGCTTAAGAAATAACCACAAACTTAGTGGCTAGAAACACTTATTAATCAGCTCACAGTTGGGGCTCGGCAGAGCTGGGCCTTGGCTGAGGACATCAGCCAGGCTGCTCTCAGAGGGCTCTGGTTGTGGTTCTGAAGGACCCATCTCCATGCTAGTGAGCAGTCAACCCAAGCCTGCTGTCAGATTGGTGTGCCCTGCAGTGAGGTCTGTCCTTGAGTCTGGCAGAGGTGTGTCATGTCCACCGTGTGTTTCAGTCTCTGCAGACTCCTATCTGTGACCTCTGCCTCCAGCTTGAAGGGGCACATGTGGTTAGGTCAGGTCCCCCACAAGAGGTCTTCATTTTTAAGGTTTAGTAATGGGATTTACTTACACATGCAAAATCCCTTCTGTCATGTGTGTCAATGTCCTAGGCTGCTGACCTACATCACCCCAAACTCAGTGGGGTGAGTATCACAAGGACAGTTATCACAAGGGCAGTTAATTCTTGCACAGACTAAGGTCTTGGCAAGGTTGGTTCCGATGGAGCCTGTGATCAAGAATGTTCTATGCACTCTCCCAGTTTCTGGCAGTTGCCAGAAGTTCGTGGTATTCTTTAGCTTGTAGTTGTGTCACTCCAACCTCTGGCCCATCTCACAAGTCCTCTCCCCTTCTTATTGGGGCTTCAGTACTGGATTTAGTGTTCACCCCACTCTAGTGTGATTTCATCTTAAGTAATTATCTACACAGGCCCGTTCCCACGTAAGGTCACTTCTAGGGTTTTGAGTGTACATGAATTTAGCGGGGAATCCACAAAGTCCACTCCGTGGTCTCCCAAAATTCACACCTGTCTCATGTGCAAAATACTCCTTCCACCTCAACATCTCCAAGTCTTTATCCATTAGAATATCCACTTACACATCCAAATTCTTGTCTAAAAAGAATCCCAAAGGTCATCACACAAAGCAGGTTTGAGAGAGACTCTGAGTATAATCTTATTTTATTACTCTCTTTCCTTTAAGGGTGAAAGAGGCACAGGCTGCTGTGACCTCTGGGCTCTGTCACTTACTTACTGGTTGAAGGACTTGTGCAGGATCAGGCTTGTGGATCAGCTTCACTCAGCTCTCGTATTTTCACCTCTAAATGAGCAGCATTTCTGTATGCAGTTTCCTCTGAGAAATGAGATGAGTGAAGGATGTAAGGTACCTGCAGGATGCCTGGCATACAGATGCACGAGCATGTGACAAATGGCATCTTCCAACAGTGACACTGCTGTGGGACTGGCAGCACCAGAAACGTTAATGCCGTTCTGGTTTGTGAAATCTCTGAGTGACTCTCCAGTGCATCTTGTCCGTACTCATTGCCTTGTCCTCAGAGTTCTGCCTGCCTCCTTCCTGGAGGAAAACTTCTCAGGTCAGGCAGATCGGGGTTGGGGGTAATGTGCACTCAGAACCTTTTCCTACAGAGCATGTTTGCCTGTCTGACAGTGATGCCAGGGATCCAAAACTCACTTTAAAAAGTACTCGCCAGGGTCAGGGATTTAGCTCAGTGGTGCCACTGCCTGCCTTGCAAGCATAAGGTCCTGAGGACAAACGATAAATAAACAAATAAATAAAAAGTACTTCCCAAAACTCTTAATAGACAAAAAGAAAATACACTTTATGATTAAAAAAAGAGAAGAGGAAATGGATGTAAACTAGGGTTTGGAAATCATTTTGTAGTAGCAATTTCTGCATGGTAACTTGACTAATCTTAATTGTGCATTATTGTTATTATTTTAAAAGATAGTATACATGTAGCTAAACAGGTAATAGTCTTATTAAATATTTAATAAATATTTACCTACCAGATACTATGGTCAGTGAATTAAAATAAACTCCAAACCTTCATATTTATATTTTGAAGCCAAATATATTCCAGATTAATATGAAATAATGATTTTTCATTGAGTGTTCTTTACAAATATATATGTGAACAAATTTTTAAAAATAATTTCTATGTGTGTAGAGAATAAATATATAGGCTGTGTATCCCTTCTCCAAAATGCATGGGATCAGAAGTATTTCAGTTTAGAATTTTTTGGATTTTGGAATATTTGCATATGCCTAATGAGGTATTCTGAGGAGGAGATCCAAGCCTAGAAACAAAACTCATTTATGTTTCATGTGCACATTAAACACAGTCTGAAAGTAATTTCATACAATATTTTTAGTGTTCCTATAAGTTGACTGTGACACATCACAAGATCAGATGTGGCATTTCTACCTGTGGCATCATGGCACACTCAAAAAACTGGATTTTGGAGTATATTGGGTTTTAGATTTTTGGAGTAGGGACGCTCAACCTGTATAAAAAGGACTCAGAAATTGTTGGCTGGCTCTGAGGTTGGTGCGGAGCGGCTGATTCTCTCCTATTCAGGATCTACAGGGCTGTTTCACTCAGATGCATTCCACCATCACGGCCAGTCTCCATGAATTGCCACCGTCAGCGGGCAGACCCGTGCCCCTGCCGTGTCTGACTGCCCCCCTCCACTTGTCCTTACCCGATGCCCAGCCACATGGATACACTTCCTGTAGTTGAGCACTTTTATCACACTTGTGCTTTTCTTCATGCTTTCTGTCCAAAATCACCCTCTCTGCCTTATTAGAAACCTACTTATTTTTCAGGGCACAGCATCAGTGCCCCTTCCACTGCAAAGTCTTCGTGTCTGCCGTCTCCCATGGCCAGAATGAATTGTGCCTTACTTTGCTCTCCTACATAGTTTTGTCACCATTCTATTCACATCTGGTCTTCTTAACATTATTGTAAGCTGAATGATTTCCCCAACTAAACTGTAAACTAAGAGGATTAATGTTTTATCCATGTACTTTGCATTATGTAGGCAAGTAATGAATACATATAAGTTCAAAATTTGTTTTACATTTCAGAATATACAACATATTTCAAAAAGATTTCCTGATTATTTTAATTAATGAGGACTAATATTTAATTGCTTTGAGTTCTTAAATGTTTTAATCCTAAACCCAAGGAAATATAAGACTATAAGAATCATTTATTCATAAATTAACTATTAAATGAGAGATTAAGTATAAAAACCAAATTTTTATTGTAAACATATATAAATAAGGGATCTACTTTTTTTTGGTTGTTTGTTTGTTTTTTGAGACAGGGTCTCACTATGTAGTGAGACTGACCTGGAACTCACTATGTAGCCCAGGCTGGTCTCGAACTCACAGTGATCCTCCTGCCTCAGCCTTTCAAGTGCTGGAATTACAGGCATGCGCCACCATGCCCAGCCAGGGATCTACTTTTAACATGAAGTCTTCTATTATGTACTTCTTGAACAATATAATTCATTCATTAACATGCCAAAAGTGATTGGAAGAATAATGTAGTTTAAATGATACATTATATTTTTATAGTGTAATTATGTAAAAAGTAACCCAAAGGAAGAAAGCATACATTCTGTATTCTGGTAATATGGAAAAGAAATTTGGAGTTGGGCGTTTGTGATAGTTATACACATTTACCTGCTTTGATAATGTTTTAATTAGTGACTTGGGAAAGTTTTTAGTTTGTTAAAAGTTTGTTATTCTAGCATAGTTATTTAAAGATGGTGAACTTGGGAAGTATAAATTATGAACTAATATGAAATATTAATTTTTACTTACATGATTGGTGAAACAGAATTATGTTTAGTTGCAAACTGTTTTCTGTCCCTCTTGCGGGGAGGACTCGCTTCTGATGTCCACTCATTTCTGTTGCAGGCTCAGTCCTCCTGTTCTCCCCCTGTGCTCCTTGAAGGAAATCCATTTGTCTACTGATAAGTTTTTCAGAATGGAACCATCTGAGATCAACAATAGTTGTTTTCTTTCTATTTTAACAAGAGAGGTAAGGAAAAGAAAAATCCCAGTGTATGTCCTACTTTGGAGTTGGGGAACAACGGCCCAGGTGGAGCAGCTGGGAACGTTGAGCATTTTGTGGTCACTCAGTAGTGCACGTGCAGGAGAGAGCACCAGTACTGAGTGTGAATAACCCCTATTCTTTACGCTCCTCCTGATGCTACTTTTCTGCCTGCCCTCTGCTCTAACCTCACCAAACAGTTTGGCAACATCTGGTGCATCTGCCCTAACCAAAGAAAGTAGCAGGGTAGTTCTTTTTGCCAGGGTTAAAAATGAGGGAGTCAAAAATTTTAAAAAGTCATTTGCTGATGCTTGTGATCTGTGTTAGCGACTAAGGCCTAAAAACCAATTATTTTAGTATAATAAAGATAATCTATTTCACAGAAACACCGGCAGGCATTTTTTACACACAGTAAGAGCCACCTCTCACGTTAATGAGTACCTCTTGCCTTGCAGCGGGACCCATCTGAGGCCGTGTCTGTGAAAGATGTTTTGGCCCGGGCTGCAGCAAAGGGTCTGCTTGAGGGGATTGAGTTAGGAAAATCATCAAAACGGGAGAAAAAAAAGAAGAAATCCAAGACATCATTGCCCAAAGCTCCTGGTAATGATAATTACGGCATCCAAATGAAGATAGCGGAGTTCCTGACTCGAGAAAGTAAAGCAAGCACCAATCAATCAGAGACATTAACGACAAAAGCACCTCTTCCACAGAAAAGTGTGACTCAAGTGGGTTCTAATACCCAGGTCAGAAAACCCAGCAAGCCTGCCGCCAATCCTTTAACGCCCACCTTGGTGAAGAACTCCTGTCCTTCCAGGCCGTGGGAGCGGCAGACACAGTTCCGGAGACCTCGACCGGAAGGCAAAATGGTTGCTCTGAAACCCGTGGAGATCGTTTTGCCTACAGTGATGTTTCCATTTTCAGGTCCCCAAGGGGTCCGATCTCAGATGCCAGCTCCACATTTCTTCTGTCGTTGGATTGGACCCAAGACTAGTGCACCCAGCTGCCTTCCCACCCCATCAATATCCATAAGAGGGGAGAAGCTGAAGGAAAACTCCCCTTCCTCCCTACTCCGGCATCCCCGGCCATGGCTCTGACCGCCCTTGCTTCTCACGTGCCTAGGAACAGGCGATTTCCTCCAGTCTGGTGTTCTGCAAGGTTAGATGTAGCCAAGCAAGATGCTCAGCCCTTCATCATCTAGTATCTTCTAAATGGGTATTACCTCCTGAGAAGTCAGACAGGGGAGAAACAGTGCTGTAGGTCACTAAAAGAGCAGAATTCAGCTCCCAGCAGCTCAGCCCTGATCTGTTTTAGAGCTGGAGATGCCCAGTGAACTGTTAGCTCTGCCCTGCTCCTGCCTCCATCTGGGTTACAGCTGCCCCAAGTCTCTAGAAGGGAAGCAGTTGCTTTGCATCCTTACAGAAGGCAGCAGCGGATGCCAGGCACAGGCCTGTCCCTCCAGCTGCCGGCCATTCCTCAGTAACCAGGGAGCTCAGCTGTACTTGGAACTTTTAAAATCAACATCAAGGTTAATTTTTTCCTTCAGTATCAAACTATTCCTGAAATGGCATAACATAAGTGTTTGTAATGGTACTGAGCTTGAGTAAGAAGCATAGAAGTGTAAGCTGTTTCTTGTGGGAAGAGATTCCAGCGTCAGTAGACTGAGCACGTCCCTCCTGCCCTCCTGCCTGTTTATGCCAAACCCTGTTCTGAAAAATGGCTGTGAGCAAATTTTCCACCGAAATATTCCTTTCAGAGAAAGGGGTGAAACTCTTGGACACAAGTGATACATGTTGAGAAACCCATAAAGATTTCTGATCCTACTCAAAGATCAGGTGATAAAGCAAAATGTATGAGCCATTGCAAATGGCACACAATGGAAATCAAACTTCGGTAAATCATTTCTCATGCACAATTAAAATATATTGTTGCACTGTTAATTACTTTAAACGCCAGATTCTTCTTGAATCTAATTCCCTACACATTTCCTACAAATACTACTATGATTATTATTTCTGGGTGTACTTCATTTTTTCATTACAGCAACAGAAACTTTCACATTAAATGAAGTCTACAACTATTAATCTTAACTGTTTAAAAAAAAGTTGACACATCCATAATTTGAGTTTAAAGTTTTATTTCCAGAATCGAGTTGTGTAGAGGTATTGGTAAATTCCTAAATGCTCAATTCACGTTACATGGTTTTAGTGGTTAGGTTTGTTTGAGCTCTTATATTCTATTTTTCATGTGGGGAGAATAGTGACTTTCATTTTCATAGTGCTGTATGTGTTTCAGCTAAAGATTTACATTTTTCAGGAAAATCTTTTAGACTTTTTACACCTTTGAAATAGGCTCCTTGTATTTGTTTCCTGAATTTTTGTTACTTACGATTCTATAGGAATATTTTATCCTATTTTTTTGTTTTGGTACCAGGGATTGAACTTGAGACCGAGTTTGTGAGACAGGTGGCAGAACCACTGAGCTAAATCCCTGGCCCTATAGGAGTTTTCAATTCTCAGCTTATTTTACTGATTTAAAAATATCAGAAACTACATGTCTCCAATTACAGTATGTGTTTCATTCTATTATCTCCACCCACATCTGGTTTAAAGCACCCTATACCGGCAGCAGGGCAGTGTAGCTTCGTTTAGTGTTGTTCAGTGTTATCTTACCTGAAAGATCTTACCTTTTTCCTACCCTCAGCCCCATCCGAGGCTGAAAAGTGTTCCATGTCTGAAAGTAGCAGGTCTGAGATTTTTATTTTCAAGCGCATTTTCTGGGTTGTGTTCTGAAGTATCCTAGGGTGTTTTCTAATCTCTATAGCGCCTGTGATTCATGTCACAACTCAGAACCACTAACTTTCAATATCTCCTATTGTCCACCTTGGCACTAAATTATTTTTCTTTTTAGAAGTTTATTAACTAGGCCTGCATTTTATTCTTTTGAGAATTTCTGAGGACTGGATCAGTACTTTGACAAGAGTAAAAAGGGCAACTTTTTTTTAGGATAAAAGCAAAATGAGAGAATTCCATTGAAGAGTACTGAATATTGATTACACTAACCCAATGTGGCATTTTAGTTAACTTTTTTTTTTCTTTTCCTGGTACTAGGGATTGAACTCGGGACCTTGCACTTGCCTGGCAAACACGGTTCCGCTGAGCTACACCCCCAGCCCTTGAACTTCTTAAAGTATTTAAAAAAATCTAAAATAAACTAGTCGGTGATTTGGCTCAGTGGTTCTCCCGCCTGCCTCACAAGCATAAGGGCCAGAGTTTGATCCCTGGTACAAAAACAAAAAACAAACTGTGGGTATTTAGATATTCCAATAGAACATTTGGGTTACAATTATGCTTACGATGAAAATCTTGAAACCAAAGTGAACTTTTGTTCCTTGAGAGTCAGTGCCTCTGAAGGCGTGAGAGAGAGGATTCTGGGAGAAGCTTGAGGAGCAAAGGGCAGGGATATGAGTCAGTCTGTCTTCCTCTTCTGTGTGTCCGCTTACCCTGAACCACAGCAAGTTGAGGTCCCAGCTGTTTCACTGGTGCCTATACGTCTGTTCTTTGTTCTCTGGTTAGCTTCTTAATAAGCTTCCTTGTGCAGAAAGAGTTTAATTCTATAAAGACTGCTACACTGGTGACTACTTGGGCTCGTGTCCAGAATACCTGCTGTCTTTCCTCATCATCAAACAAGACCCAGGTAATTACGCAAAATTTACTTTCCTGTTCTTGCCAGGTGGAAAGATGCAATCACTAATCAGAGCTGAATCTGACATCACCAAAATGATTTGTAAAACACTTACTCTGATGATATAAAAATAAAATGACTAGTGTAGCGATACTGCCTATATTTCTATTTCTCATATATACACTGAGTTGTCAGAACAATGAGCCAAACATTTTATGCAGCTATATTATTCTCACAGTATATTACATTTAAATGTGTAAAAGTGGTCAATAGCAAAAGGAAAATGAAACATCCTTTTGGGGCGAACTGGCTGCTCCTGATGCCAGGGACTGCTCTCTGTGGTGTGAGGATCTTTGCCTCGAACCCTAAGTAACTTCCATTTCACGCTCCTGGTTGTACACACGTGTTAGACGTGATTTAGGTTAAGTCTGGCTAACTGGAGAGCAGTGTCCTGATAAATTGTGCTAGAATCAGTTGGGATATGTTTTCTGGGTTGAGAAGCTCATCAAATGAGTGTGCCATTCAAGAAAAAGCAGCTTAGGGGCTGTTGGTGAATGGCCTTGTGGATTCTTACAGGTGTGCATCTTAAACTCCTAACATGGATTTTAAAAAAAGTAGCAATGCCAACAGATTATCACCAAGAACTTGTTTTAATGGAAATGAGTCTAATGTCCCTTCATGCAGGAAGACAGACAAACAAAAAAACAATGGCCCTAAGTAGCTGAGCGCTCTCATATCCAGGTGGAAACAAAGGGAACGTGGGTATATGTATATATCTCTAGGTGAAGTCAGACGCATTGTGAAGGATATAAAAACGAAGCACAGCACAGTGCTTTAGTCTACAAGGTAAAGTTCTTAGCCATAGGCATGTCGGCTGTTCCCCTTGACTCCGCCAAGGAGCACGCAGACCAGGTGGCAAGACTGCATCTGGCTAGCTGCTCTTAAAAAATAAAAGGAACTTTAAGCATTTTGCCTTTTCTTCTACATATTCCAATAGAAATGCGACTACAAATCATTACAAAACCACAATTAGGCAACGTATAGTTCACTGAGATTACTTAGGCCTGGATACATTGAGACATAATATCCAGTAAAGATAATACATTAACACAATAATGCAGTATATTTCAGTAAAAATAGAATAAATAAAATAAAAATATTTTAAGCTGTATTTAACAGGTTAATTAAAAAAATGATAAGACATACAAGGCTTAGTGAACATGGCTGCCTGTTTACCAAATCACAGATATAAAGAATGCATAGGTAACTGAAGTGTCACTAAGTTCTCAGGTAAAACACTGGCGCCCTTTCACAGACACACACACACTTTCATACATACTTTTTGGCCATGGCAGAAAGTGTCTGAACGTACTGTTTAACATAATAAATTTTACAAAATTAATCTGCATTTAGTATGCAAAGCTATTTTCAAAACAAAATATCTGCAGAAAAATTTTCAATATGTAAAGGCTATCATTCATCTTACTGAATCCTATAATTGCATATGTAAATCAGTTTGCTACTTAAAGCTAGCTCAGTATTCTTGATCCTGAAAACAAACAAATGTGTGCCTTAAAAAAATGAAGAAGAGGGTTCTAGTAGAGATTTCCTGGAGAAAAATGGGTTGCTTGTTTAGAATATTGAAGGGTATCACACGAAAACATTTCATGGTGGAGATCAAGATGAAATATCATTGCAAGTGAATTTTGAACAGCAATTCACAGGGCACGGTAAGATTTTCATATTGCAGCAATTTCCCACAATGGCACTGGTTACTTAAGAGAGAACAGTATGGAAGTTGGACAGAAGCACAATGCATTTCTAAAGTAGTATCATTTTGGTTTTGACATCAGGGTGCCAGCAAACACCCCCAGCCCTGCTGTGCCCCATCCATGGCAGACAGAGGCCTCCTACTCATGTTCTCTGGTGGGTAAGGGCCATCAGTGAGGAATGCCTCTACCACAAGGACTGTGCCCTCTGGAAACCTCAGGTCGGAACAGGCTGTACCGAATGTGAATGCCCGGTCCTCTCCAGCATATTTCAGGTGTGCAACAGCAAGCAGTCCTGGACAGCGAGGGCGGCGGTGAGGGATTTGATACCACTGCCCGAGTAACATGAACAGGCTTCCCTGCCTCTGCAGGGGGTTCTGAGACTGCCTGACAGTGTGTGCTTTCATGTCTGCTCTTGCAGATGCCCAGAGTCACTGGGAACAGTCTTCCTGACAAGGGTGGAGGGGAATAAGACAGCAAGAGCTGGAGGTGGGTGTGTGGGTCCTGCTTCTGGCCCTCACGAGCTTTGGTGAGATCTTAGGCCAATGGATTTAGCCTCTTGGTACTTCGTATTTTATTTCTCCAGTGTGTTTAGTACCTTTTCTACCATATAAGGCTCAAATGTGATAAGGATGTAGAAACCATCTTGACAAAGTACAAAGCTGTGTAAAAACATAAACCATTACCTTTTATGACTGGTTGTCATAAACACTAATTTTGACATTACAAAGTAAACAAGACTAATGTTGAGATTGATCTCCTTAGCAACTTCCTTTTAAAACAACGTCAACAGGAGTCTAAATTTGTATATCTTTATAGCTAAGTTTCTTATCCACATAAAAAGCAGGGAAATGCTATTTTTGGGAAACCGTTAAATAGGCCATCTTTCCTATGAATACTTCACTCTGATGTGAAATATTTAAGTCTTGAGAATAAAGTGGAAAAATATGTTTTAAAATATATCCTGCTGGATTCAACAAATTCTAATATTAAATACATAAATTCAAGAAAGTTTCAACTAAATGTAATCTGTTGCCATGGACAATATGTAACAGACAGACAACTTTCTGGACAAAAAGCATTGGAATAAAAATGAGCCAGATTCTAGCAGATTTACCTCTAGGAAGTGGACCAACAAAAATAACGTGGTGACACAAATCTAAAACAACAGTGTGCGACAGAGATATGAATGACATTTCCTCGACTCCAAATTGCATATTGGCTAGTTATCAAACTAAGGATGAGAGACCATGAGGAATATTTCACCTAGTGTTTGTGCAGAGAATGACCATAGTGAACTATAATTCTCTAGCGGCATCATACAGTGTAAGGCAGAAGTCTGAAATATGTCCCACCCAAAATGCATTAGGATCTTGTTCATCTTTTTAAAATAATCAGTTTGAAAACCACCTGAAAAGGCTCTTTTTTGTTTGATTTTAATTCCTCAAATTTAGTTTCTCGTTAATTTTAAAGTTTTACTCCCCCCACAACTTCCCACCGACGGCAGTCGATATGAAATGGTGTCTGCCTGTCAAAGCTCGCCAAGGAAAGCGGCTCGCTTATTTCTACACTGACGCCAACAGCCGATTTTGTCAACCAACAAGTTTCAATTTTATGGAAAACTAAAACCCATCCTATGTTTACAGCACTTCAGTGGCATCCACTCTGCAGTGCACTGTGTTCCCAAGGCTGAAAATGGGCAAGGTGCTGCAGGCCGGAGGCTGCTCCTCACAGATCAGCCGAGAAGCCGAGAAACGACTCTGGCAGTGTTGACTCCAAGGACGCAGGCGGGCGTCTTTCTCTGTGTGTGAAGCCAAGACCATGATATGTACAACAAGAAAAAGACCTTCCACTGCTCATGATGTAACTTACAGCAAAAAAAAGTATTCATGCTTCTTTTCATATCACATGGTGGTAGCAAGACAGAGAACATGCTTGTCTAACACTGTTTGGGTACAGATAAACTCTCTGGAGACAAAGCATCAGCAACTGAATGGAAGGCTGGGCGCAGGTCCTTTTCTTTAGTGTAACTCTTCAATCCTCAGGGGGACGCCAGAGTCCTTGAATGTGTGCAGCTATGGCATCTCCGAGACCGGGCGTTTCTGTTTCAAAGTGTCAATGAGGGACAAGACTCCTCGCTTTACATTGGTTGTGACTCTTCGGGTCACTGAGTCCACTGGTGGAGGAGGTGGTCGGACTTTCTGTGAAGGCGGCCTGGCCACCAAGCACTTCTGATAGCGTAACTGAAATAAAGCAAAGAAAATATCCAAGGTAATATTATCGCATCTTGTTAATAGGGCTTTAACGCTTCACTGATAAATTGAGTCCAAAAAATTAACAACCTTGCTCTTAAATCCAAGAGTTCAATGTGGGTGATTAAAATTCTTCAGTCAGCCTGAGGTGCTCTGCCTCTTGCTGCCTTTCCTCCCATCCATTCCCATCCTCACCTTTCTCTATCTTCATAGGCTATGACGAATATACCTCATAGTCCACAGGCCGAGGAAAACCAAAAAGGCTGGGACAGAGGGTGTTCCCTGAATGTTCATCAGAGATGCGCTTGCTCACGGCGGCTGGGAGGCAGCTTGGGAGAGGGTGCAGGTTGTATCCAGGCTCTGTGAAGCTCAGGCTGGCCTTGAACTCAACGATGTAGCCTAGGCTGGCCTCCAATTTGTAATGATCCTGCCTCAGCCTTCCAAGGGCTAGGATTGCAGGTGTGCAACACCACTTTTGAACTGTAGACTCCAGGCAGTTATTAAATCTCCCTGAGCCTAAGTCTTCTCAACTGTGAAGTGGCTTACAGAGGGTGTTACGACTAAGGCGTACTTACAGAATGTCTAAAATAGTCCTAGCAAAATGCAGTAAATGTTTGCTTCCATCTTAATTTCCTGCTTTAATAAAAAAGTATTAATAAAAAAGTGTATTGATAGATTTCGGGATCTATTTTATATTTAAGTCTAAATCCAAAGTGAATTGGTTTTACAAAAACTGACAATTTCTATACTTCAGGAATATAAGAAAAAAAAAGCCCACCTGCTTTTGTTGGGAAGATAAGTAATTCTTCAAAATTAGATGAAAAGGTTAAAATTTATCCAGTTTTTTCCCCTAATCAAAGCACTGTGAAATATTTCCACAGCCAATTTTTAAGAGATTGACACACATTAACAGATTCCTTAATATAGTTATGGAGCAAGTTGATGTTATTCCCTAAGGAGCATAAGGTATCACAGCAAGACTTTTGGGAATGATGGATCACAGTGTCCCATCACACACCACAGGCCAGAAAACTGGCCCTGCCAACTTGATGATATGTCCATCTTCTCTGTCTAAGGCATCTTCCTAAGTCTGCATTACAACTCAAAACATGCACATCTAAAGCATGAATTTACACAGGCAGGTCTGGTGACCTGGGACCCTGGAGTTGGCATTTCAAACAGTTTTGTATGTATGGCATGAATCAAAATTGCACTTAACTGGCGAATTCCATAAAGGATCCCTGTGATGGTTAAGCTTGGCTTTGTCTACCTGATTGGCTTGGGAGCTCCAAGGGGATTAGTAACCCTGGGTAGTTATGGAAGTGTGGCCTTTAGTACCCTATGGCGCCTGGCTCTTTCCTCCCTGCTGCTGTTTCTCGGCCACAAGGAACCGGGCGGCTTTGCTCTGATATTCCTTCCTACCATGATGTTCTTGCCTTGGAGCCAGCCAAGGCAAGGGATTCACAGACTGAATGCCCCGAAACAATGAGCTAAATGAAAGACCTCCTCCTTTAGACTGTGGGTAGTGGGTACTGTGTTCCAGCAATGGGAAAGCTGACTAGGGCCATCCCTCTCTGTCCCCTTCTGAATTTCACAATAATTTCATCAGATGAGTCTACACCACATACCGGCAACATATCTCCTAAAATTAAGTAGATTCAAAAGAATGTGTTCATAGTACGTTTCAGATAGGCTAAGCTCACACACAGACATTTCAGATGGACAATCATGCAGATTTGAATCCAGAAGGAAGCCACAGCACTAGAAAAGCTGGATTTAGGGTGGGACGGGAGGTGGGGGGCTTCGAATTTATCCATGTGCCTTCTGGGTTGGCTGAGCTACTCTGGCTGGTACACTAGCACAATTAAAGTAGGAAGCAAATGAGGAAAAGCTGTTTCCAAGAGAAAATGAGTCTGGGAATCAAAAACAAACTGCAACTAGTAATAAAGCTAATTATTTAATTGGCATTAGCGTTTAAGATGTATAATTAAAGCCCGAAAGCCATTCATTTTATGACCAAAGCCATCTGCTATGATGTGTTGCAATTTCACAGGACATCTAAGCAGCCACCATCCCTTTGTGCTTGACTGTCCCATGCTCCGCTTGCCTCATGTGGCCCTTCACCCCGTCCTCATCCCCATACCTGGTCCGGGGTTTACCTCGCCTCCTCCATCCTACCCTGCTTAACAGCCAGGCACATGACAGGAGCCTGGTGCCACAGCCCTGGGTGTGTGCGCACGCGCATGCGTGTGTGTGCGTATGTGTACGTGCACACTGTATCTCTAATAAGGGGCTGTGGTAAGTGGAAACAGGATCCCAAGTACAGAAGCAGGTCTCTCCTCCCTTCTCCCTCCCCCCACCTTTGCCATCTCCCACCTCCCTCCCCCTCCTTCTCCGTCCTGTCTACTGTCCCATCTGCAGTCTCTTTTTTATGGCAGTAATGGGGGTTGAACCCAGAGCCTTCACACTGATCTACATCTCAGCCCTTTCACTTTTTTTTTTTTTTTTTGACAGGGTCTTGCTACGTTGATAAACTGCCCTGGCTGGGTCAAACTCACAATTCTCCTGCCTCAGCCTCCCAGACTGTTAGGATTACAGCCATGTGCCATTACACCCAAGTGTGTGTTCATTCTTATCTTAGCAGTTTCCTATATGTAAAAAACGAACACACACACAATATATGGCCCTCTGTTTTCCTTCTCCTAGCTTCACTCTTCTCAGTTCTTAGCACCTTCAGGCTTATGTCAGAGTACAGTGAGGCACCTCCTCTCTGCTCTCCATTTACCACCGCTTTCTGTCAGTTTCATGCTGCAACTACAGTGGTGCATTTGCTGACCGACGGGAAGCATCATTTCATTCTTGTATGGGACCCTCGCGTACACGCCCAGACCGAGGTGGGACAGCCTACTGTGCCTGGGCTGGGTGGCAAGCCCGGCGCTCCTGGGCTGCAGACGACAGCAGGCTACTGTACTGACTACCGCAGGTGATGGGCACGCAATGCCATCTGTGCATCTAAACAGGGCACAGTGAAAACACGCACGACGGGAACTTGTTCCGGTGTATGTGAGAGTGGAGGCCGAGGACACTGCACTGCTGGGCAGACTTTAGAAACACTGTTACACTGTACACTTGGCCTACACCAAATTTATTATAACCTTTTCTTCAGTAATAATGTTAAAATATTAACCCTAACACTGTAACTTTTTACTTTATAAACTCTTTTTTTTTTTTTTTTTTTTTTTTTTTTTGAAACAGGGTCACACTATGTAGTTGAGACTGACCTGGAACTCACTATGTAGCCCAGGCTGGTCTTAAACTCACAGCAATCCTCCTGCCTCAGCCTCTCAAGTGCTGGGATTACAGGCATGCATCACCATGCCTGGCCTTAAACTCTCTTTTTTTTTTAACTTTTTGACCAGTTTGTAATAACCTCTAGCATAAAACACAAATACCCTGTAGGTGACAGGAACTTTCAGCTCCATTATAATCTGATGGACCACTGTACTATACATGGTCTGTTATGGACAGAAATGTCTCCCCATGAGGCCCACAGTTTGTTTTTGGGGTTTTTTTTTGGTACCAGGGATCGAACTTGGTGCTTTGCACTTGGTGAGGCAGGCGGCGGAACCACTGAGCTAAATCCCTGGCCCCTACGCCCACAGTGTGTACGTGTAACCCACTCCAACCTAGCTTGTTCATCTCCCTCAGGCTAAGAAAGTGTGTCGATTGTTTCGGTCCTAAAATGAACCAACCAGTAAACCTGGCGGTGCTGCCTTTGAAGCTGCCCTTCTGAGCCGTCTACTGCCCGGGCCTCCTTTCCTCTTGGTTCCTTGTCAGTCCGGGGAGTCTCACACTTGTATCTGTAGTCCTTCCCATACTAAAATGGGACTGAGTTTGCGTGTCTCACACACCATACCTAAGCTTCAAGATGTAGGGGTCAAACTGAGTCAGGCTTTAGCGTACCTGGAATGAGAGATACGGACGACCTCAAGCCCGGCCCCTCCACCAGGCCATGCCAACTGCATGGTGCCTCTCAGATCATCACCCACTGTGTGTCCCAGTCTGCGATCCTGGCTTGTACCCAACTCGCCCCTCCTCTGGATGGCTAACTGGCCTCAGAGTGGATCACTCTGTCCTCCACATAGCCGCCTTTTTTAAACTTTTTGCTGGAGTATTCTTTTAAAAGCTAAATGTGGAGCTGGGTTTAGCTCAGTGGTTCCGCTGCCTGCCTCTCAAGTACAAGGACCTGAGTTCAATCCCCAGTACCAAAAAAAAAAAAAAAAAAAAAAA